CAAGGCCCTACGTGTTGGTTGCGTTTTGTTCTTAATTAATTGAATAAAAGTATTCAACAGAGCAGCAAAAAATACAACCACAAAAAAAAAAAAAAGAAAAAGGGAGAAACAAAAAAACTCTCAACGATTTAAACTTCGGTAGAACTACGACTATTGAAAACATAGGTTGGGAACAGGAAGACATTATAATCTTTTCCTGTAAAAGCCAAAAAGGGATAAAGCAAATGAAACGAGAGCTCACAAGATACTCATTTGGAAAACTCTGAGACGATTTTGTGAAAATGTTTAAATAGGAAGGATATTGTAAAATATATTAGAAGTGAAACATATTAAGAATAGACAAGGCTAAGATACTGATTGAAGCAGGTGAATATGGACTGGGAATAGGTATTCTGTTCATGTCCTCATTTTATTTTCATATAACCAATTTAAAAAGGGGTTGTTTTATTAAAAAATATTGCTTTAATGTGCCCTGGTAGTTTTATTTTCTAGGAAGGTTGTTTTTTCTTTTTTAATTTTTTAAAAATAGTTTTCAAATAAAGCTACTTAGTGGGTTCCCATTTTAGTAAAAGCAACTGCTGACCAATAATGAAGTCTTGTGGGAAATCATATGACTTGAACTATTTCAGCCTCTTGTTCGCACTCAAGAGTCCTGTTTTGGATGAGAAATTGCACGTGGCCCATCCCGGGGGCTCTGCTCAAAGCTGGAGCAAATCTTTATGTCTGTTCTTTGTGGAGGAGCTGAGTCTCTTTTGTGAGTGAGATGGGAAGAACCCGGCATTTCAGCCACACCTGGTGGGTTTGAGTTATAGGGTGCAGTCTGGCACGATCTGCTCCAGAAACCCAGTGTGCCTTTCCATCACTTGGGACAGCAGGGGTCAGCCGGGCGGCCCTTCCCCAAAGACACCGGCTCAGGGTCTGCTCCACACCCTCAAAACCCGGCAGTTCCCAATCAGCTGGGAAGGCCAGCTTGGATGTGGCGGGAGATGGCCCCTGTCCTCAGGAGGCTCAAGGTCTCGGTGGGAGATGCAGCACCCAGATGGGTTCAAACAAATCGGTGTATCCTGGATGAAAGGGCACCTCACTGGGCAGAGCATGTGAGCAAGAGCTGGGGGGAGTGGACAGGGGTGAGGAGAGTCCCTGCCCTGCCTTGGGGTCTCTCCCTGCACCAGCCTCCTGTCCTCCTGTCTCCTAGCTGTCATTTTGCAGACTCTCAGCCTGGGTCCTCTTCCCCGGTCCCCAAGTGCACTGACCTCCTTCGGTGTTGCACCGCCACCTCACCTCTGCCCCTCCACACACCCCCAGTGAACTCACCCACACCCTGAGCCTTCAGCACCAGCTCCAGCCGAGCCCTAGGCCCTGAGTGTGATTCCTGTTGGCACTCTCCACTAGAATGCTCCAGAACCCCGAGATGCAACAGGCCACCTCTGAGGACAACAGGATGTTCGTCATAGGATGGCCGTGAGGACTGGGGAGGTAGCTTACCTCGGAGCCTCAGATGGCTTGTCACACTTTATAGGAGCTCAGTAAATCGGAGCTTGTATTATCATTTTATACCGAGCCCAAATCATCTCTATCCCCAAACCGGGGACCCCATTCTCCTGATGTCAGCTAATGAGTGATCCCCTGGGATTTCCCAAGATGGAAATCCCAGTACCTCTGATGCCCTTACTCATCACCACGTCCAGGTGAACACCATTCCTACAGATTCTGCCTTTGAACCCCTTTCAAATCCCTCCCTTCTTATCATTCCCATTGTCCTGGCTTAGTCCAGACCTTTCTCTGCTGCGGAGCCGGTGTGTGTCAGATTGCATGTGCATGGGAAGCATGCAGAGGTCTAGTGAAAATGTGGGGGGTCCGGTGGTTCCTGAGAGGCTGCCTCCCTAGCAAGGTCCCAGGGGATGCCCGTGCCCCCAGCCGTTCTGGGGCAGCAAAGCCTAATGCCGGGTCTGTGGTGGCTCCTGACTGGCTCCCAGCACTCCCTCTGGAAACTCCAGTGGCAGCTCACAGCCGAGGTTGTCAGCCGCAGTCCATACAAAACCTGTCACTTGCCCTATATTTGGATTCTTTGCATCTGGAGTTGGGCCCAGGAATCAGCGTCATTTTGTCATGCACTCAAGTGGTTCTGGTAAGACAGGTTGTTGATGGAAAAGGAGACCATAGCACCAAATTAAACTCTCGAACATGACACTCAAGGGCCTTCTGGACTCGTCCTGGGCAAACTGAATCATCGCCTCGTCCCCTTCTGGCTCGGCACCGTGGACACTCGTCTCCAGAGCAGTGCAGCCGCTGGGTGGCTGCTGTGCCGCGCGTCCTTCCAGCTCCGCGAAGCTGCTGCGCGCTTGCCCAAGAATGAGTGTTAGAAAGGCGCCGGACGGAGTAAAAAGGCGCTTCTCATCAAACCGATAGCTGGCTGGCTTTCCATAGGAGTCAAAGTAAAGCTGCTTTGTTGCAAACTACTGTGATAATCTCAGTGCTGAGACCCAGCATGGAAATGCCCAGAATACTTCACTTTTGGTAGATTCAGTGCAAATCCTTAAAATTCACTCTGGATTTAACTTCTGTTTCCAGGACTGCTTTTGCGCGGACTCGTGTCTGTGCTTAGTGGTAGCTTGCACAAACCCTCTGAGGGTGAAGAGCCAGGGACAGGACCGTTGTCATCCGTCTGGAAATACAACGCCGCAATTAGGGGACTCCTGGGGCTTGAATTCAGCGAGGTTTAGTGCCCTCTGCTGGCCATCGTGGCCAAACCACCTGCGCACCCAGGAGAGGCGGCCGACCCCGGGGGCTCTGATGGGTGATGAGATGGTCTTTGTGTGGCTCACAAATGTCAGCGTTCTCTTAGGCAGTGGGACATTTGGCGAGGAAGGTTTTGAATGAATGCATGTAACAAGAAAATACGCTTCGACTAGGAAGTCTGCGTCTCTGAGTTGGATTAAACCAGTGGGTACTTCCTAGTCAATTACTCTGCAGCTTCTTCAGTTACTTAAAAGTGTTGCTCAGGAGCAGACTGTTTAATGCAGCCTGTGCACAGCTGCCCGTCAGGGCTTCAGGGCTTTTGGCTCTGGCCGTCCTGGGTTCGAATCGTGACTCCTCCATCTCCTCTGACCCGACGTTGGGTCAGTTTCTCAGTCCTGGAAGGTTACTGTGAGGGCAGTGCCCAGACGAAGGGCCTGGTGGTGGTAGGTGCTCCCCGGACACAAGCATGTGTGCGTGTGTGTGCGTGTGTGTGTGTGTGGCTCACTTTAAAAGTCTAAAATGTATTTGGTAAAGGAACAAGAAGAAGGAGGTGAAAGGATTGATTGTGGCTGTCACTGTCCCGGGATAATTGCAGCTCAAAATGGTTCCATTTCAGCTGAAACATGACAACGATTTTTTGCGCTCATTCAGATGTCTCCTCTAATTACAAGGGACAGTGTTTCTGGGCCTCCGTCCATTTGTCTGCATCAGCGAGGCTTTTTGCAGGAAAGTCCTGTGTGAGCGGACGGGCAACCAGGCTGACCGTGGAGTGCAGTAGAGAGTGCGGGAGGGAGGGAGCCCAGGAGGGAGCCCACCCCTCAACCTACCGCTTCACCGTCACCACCGCCAGGTCTCCCTCAGCTCCGATGGCCATGCCCCTTCTCTGGGGGTCAGTCCCCCTCTCCACCACCAGGAGGTCGATGCCACATTTCCTCAGGATCCAAGGCTATTTTGGAAAAATGGGGCACCAAGTGGGGATCTGAGGTGGGCCTTACAGGTCTGGGTAAAAGAACATTTTCCTGTGTTGAACTTCATCGCATTAGCCACCCCCAATAAAGACTGACCTCCGTCCCCAGCGTGCCCACATGACTCCATCAGAAAAGAACTGATGGTGGCCCCTCCTGGCAGACGAGGGGTCTTTCCTCTGCCTCACCTGGGGGCTCAGACGGGAGGCAAGGCCGTGTTCCTGGAGGCACGCGTGAAGTTCAGGAGAGTGGTAGGAAGTACAGGGCTCGAAGGAACACTGACCAGGCAGGCCGGCCCATCCCCATTCTCACTGTTAACATCTCAGGCCCGGGGGGACGGGCTGGCCTTTGGAGGCCATCAGGCTCCGGAGTGTGGGAAAGACCTGCACTCAGACTAAGGGCTGGGGGTACGGGTTGTGGTTGTGGCCAGGGGGACAGCAGAGGTGGACTCTGTGCAGGGGGCCCTCCTCGCTTCCAAGCCCCCCCACCCCTATGACCACCTGCCAGTGAAGCTTTCTCCCAAGCCCGCAGTTCTTCCCAAGGGGGTGCTCTTCTCTTGGCTGGCATGATGCAGAATAGAAATGCTACACCCATGTCACAGCAGACACCATAGAATGTACCCGAAATATTGAACAGATCATTCCATGTGGCAATCCAGAAGTTGTGGGTAAAGGGCCTCGCTGAGGCTCCGTGAAGCGGCCTTTCAGAATCACTGATCTGGTATTTTCAGACTTTACCCTCCCTGGACACCTCCATATCCTTGTTCACTTCCCCTCTCCCTGCAAAACCAGACAAACACACAAGAAAGGGAATTGGGGCACCTGGGTGGCTCAGTTGTTAAGTGTCTGCCTTCAGCTCAGGTGATGATCTCAGGGTCCTAGGATCGAGTCCTGCATTGGGCTCCCTGCTCAGCGGGGAGCCTGCTTCTCCCTCTCCCTCAGCTGCTCCTCCTGCCTCTCTGTCTCTCTGTCTGGATATAAACAAATGGGTAAATAAAATCTTTTAAAAAATAAAAAGAAAGGAAATTAACCTGAACAGCAAGTATTTTTCTAATGTGGGAACAGCTCTTGGAGTTACTAACTTTTCTCGTCCCAAGGTGAGATCACTTCCCTAGTGCAGGAGTAAAACGCGCCGGGAGTGTCCCCAGACCCGCCTCCCAACCCAGTGCTCCAGAGCATGCCCACTGGCATCTGTCCCCAGTCCGCCTTGTCCTCCATGAGTGGCCCTTCTCAGCGGGGGGCCCGGCCACCCAAGACGGGTGGGGGGCACCTCTGAGGCTGTCCCTGCTTCTTGCAGGTTCGCCATGGAGCCCTTCTGTCCGCTCCTGCTGGCCGGTGTTAGCTTGCCGCTCGCCAGGGCTCTCAAGGGCAACGAGACCACCGCGGCGGTCAGCAACTGGACCTCGACGACCTCAGGTGAGACCCCGGCCGCATGCTCCTCCCTGGCCCTCCCATGCCCATCCAGGTAGGCTCTCGGACTGGGATGACATGGCTGAGGGAGGAGACGCAGGGTGCAGCTGACTTCCTCAGCGAGCAGAGCATCTCTCGCGTCACTCCTGTCCACACCAGCTGGCCAGACAGGCCAGTTGTGCGGAATTGGAGCACAACAAATTACGGTCCGGGGGCAGCAAACACGACCCTGTGCTGATGGTTGGTGTCAGCTCCGGTGGGAGGCGGGAGAGCAGCAGTGACTTTTCCTGAACCCCACTCCTGGGGATCTGGTTGAAACAAGCCTGAAGGAACAGTGATGAGTCCGCGGGGGATACTGACCCACTGACATGACCGTTGCTGCAGTTGAGAAGTTAGCATTAATATTCTTGGGCAAGATACTGGTGTAGTGGTTAGATTATACTTTTGGAAGAAGAGCCCTTACATTTTAGTGAGGCATGTTGACGTCCTTGCGAGATCCAGGAGTGACTCGAGAAAGAGCAAATGGGGAGCAGGTGGGGGGAGGGCTGGACCAACAGAGCCTTCTCGTCCTGATCAGAAAGGTGGGTGGCAGACACACAGGGGTTCATTGCTCTGTTCTCCTGCCTTTTCCATATTTTGAAAGTTAGGGGTAGGAAAGAGTGAACAGACATGGGTGAACCCCAGAAACCCTCTCAGTGGAAGAAGCCAGACACGAGACCCCGTGTTGTGTGGCTCCATTGAAGGGAGATGCCCAGAATAGAGAAGCTGATGCCAGAGAAGGGACAGGAGTGCTGGGCCAGGCTTGGGGGGCAAATGCCAAGTGACCCCAGGTGGCCGAGAGGTGGATGGGAATGTTCTGGAATGCTGAAAAAAAATCTGTGAATTAGCTGAAAATCACTGAATTGTAGGTTTAAAACGGGTGAGTGTGTAGTATGTAAATTTTACATCAATGAAATGAGATACATGCCGTGCAAAGGTTAGAAGAGGCGGCGGCAGGAGGAGGAGTGGCAGCGAGAGCGAAGGTTCTCGAGACACGTGGCCCAAGTTCAGTTCTAGCTCTGCCGGCCGCTCATTGGCCAAGTGATCCGGAGTAAGACCCTGAACCTCTTTGTGCCTCAGTGTCCCCGTCTGTGAGACGGAGGTCGTAATAGTGCCCGCTACTCAGCAGTGCAGACTAAGGTGACAACCAGCCGGGGTTCAGGAACTCATCCATGGGGCTGCTGCTGTGCTTGGCAGGAGACCCCGTCCAAGGAGGCCTGTCTGTCCCCCAGCCAATCTCTGACGGCCCAGAAATTGGCTCTTCAGTGTCCCTTGATCTCTCTTCCTTGGATGTTTGCCCAACACAGAGGCCCAGCTGGTGTTTTCAGGGTCCCCAAGGACTGGACACGGGGTCCCTGGGCCACACCTCCCTGGTAGACGGAGGCCCATCTGGCTGCCAGCTCCGGCCCGTGGCCAGGGTAGTAGGAATCTGTAACCAGTAAGACCTATTCCCCCAAGGGTGCCTCAGAGCCTCTTGCTAGTCCCCATATGCCTTCTCCGTGCCCCCTTCCCTCTCCATTCCCGAGACTCCCAGACATAAAACTCAAGGACTTCTCTGATACGGTATTACTTGGTGAATTGGTTCTCCAGAGACACAGAATCCATAGATAAATATTTATATTTTCATTTATATCTGCACCTGTGTCTGTATCTGTAGTTATATTTATTATAAGGAATTGGGTCACACAATTGTGGATGTTGTCAAGTCCAAAATACACAGAGCCAGTGTCCTAGTTTGAGTCTGAAGGCTGGCAAGTGGCTACAGAACCAGAGAGAGTGATGTCCCAGTTGGAAGGCAATCAGGCAGAAAGAATTCCCTGTTACTCACAGAACGCCTGGCACTTTTATTCTATGTGGGTCTTCAACTGATTGGAGGAGGCCCACCTGCAATGGGGGGAGGGGCTGTGATCTTTTTTTTTTTCCCTGAGACACAAATTTTAAATGCTGACTCTCATCTGAAAAGCACCCCCCTGCCAGAAACACCCAGGACAATGTTTGTCCAAGTATCTGGCAGCTCATGACCCAGCTAAGTTGACACATACAAGAAATGCTTATCACAAGGCCTTGGGAAAACAAAAATGTTCAACATCCCTCTGGAAGAGAAAGCCTGGGCGAGGTGACTGGAAGTGGTGCCATTTGGGCTGTTGTCAAGGGTTCAACACCCATCCAGCTCAGGAGCTTTGCATGATTTTCTAACCCTACACATGTCCTACAAATGCATCCTTAGTCCCCAAGAGGAGGGAGAGGTGGGGCTCAGTCTCTGATGCCCACCCCCAGCAGGGGGTGGCAAGCATAGCATGGTCCTTGCATGGAAAGCCAGAGAAATCTAGAGCCACATGAAAGGAAAGACAGATGCTCCCAGCACATGGAAACTGCATTTGTCATCCCACATCACCGCCAGCTGGTCTCCGGGAGCTGGGGCGCGGGGGTCGCTGGCACTGTTCCCCAGCCCGGACCGTCCAAACCCGCCCCGAGGACAGTGTGTCTCTGCAGCCGGCAGAGAGGAGCCGGCTGCTGCTGGCCCGAGGCCGGACACCACCTGCAGCAGCGCTTACAACAGCAACAGATCTACCAGGCAGAACGACATTGGCCCAAAGCAGAGAAGCGACGTAGGGCTGTGTGGGCGCTCCAGAGAGGACATCTGTCGGGCAGGGTGACTCAGCCTCACCCCTCGTCCTCCTCAGTTCACTTGAAAGTGAAATGATTGGCTCATGAGATGTCTGTGGGCGTTGGGGGCTCCTTTCAGGGAGGGGGACTGTGGTGAGATCTCATGCCCATCAGAACGGATGTGACACTCAGCTCTGTGCTGCTTCTGCTGGGGGCCTTCTGGGCGGGGCGGTGGCTGCTGGTCACACAACCAGGAGGGAAATCGGCAGTGGCCCCACTTCAAGGTCTCGGTGTTACCACGTGGACAGGCTCCCCTGACCTAGAATCCCAGGGCGGGGGGGAGCCTGACTGTGTGAAGGAGCCCTTTGCAACTTTGTTCCCCGAAAGAAGGATTATTTGGGATAATCCCAGCACACCGCCCCGGTGTACCAGTTAACCAGAAATCATCTCATTTGTTCATCGAACAGAATGTTTTAAATAATCATCAAGAGACATTCCTTTACACAGGAGTTGAGGGTGAAGATTCACAGTGTAATAAAATGTTGCTGCCCTTGTTACAGGAAGGGTTCCTAAAAAATTAATAAGAAATAGATAACACAGGAAAACGGTGGAGGTTGTGACCGAGCCAAATGCAAATATCGAGTTGATGATGCTTTATTGATTATGAGATGATGTTTAACTCTATAGAAGGTAGGGAAATGCAGATTATTTTACTTATCAGACTGACAAAAATTAAGAGGATTGCTCATAGCTGGGAGAAATCACTCCATCACCCAGTTGAGGCGAGCACGGAAGCTGGAAATGCTGCAGGGGGCTTTCGAGCAGTTTCTACTACAATGCACTGTGTGCGCACACAGAGCCACAGGGTCCCCTTCCGGAGCCTTCTACAGAAGCACTTTCAAGATACACTGAGATAAAGATACGAGACGGAAAGTTTTAACAGCCAAAGAGTTGGAAACAACCTAAATGTCCATTGAAATCTCAGGTTATTCAGAAAGTGGACGTCCAAGCAGGCGTGTATGTGCTGGCGCAGAAGCTTCCCAGGACAGACGGCCCAACAAGGAAGGCGAGTCACAGAGCTGGCCGATAGCCAATGTCATCCGTTTCTTTTTGTTTTTTTGCACATTTCACTTGGCTCAGGGGACACGGCCTGTAGAGGCTTTTGTTCTAGACCATAGTATTTTTCAAAAACTGCATTTAGCTTGCATTACTTATCTATATTTAAAAATCAGATCATTTTTTACATGAAAATATGAATTTCTTCTTTTGGCAAGCTGGAGGAACTGGATAGTGGGGGCGGGGGGCACTCTCAGTTCTCCAGGCCCCGTCAGGCCCTCCAGCTCATGAGGGTTCCTGCCGGCTCTCTGCCTTCCAGAAAGAGGCAGCTGCTGACATGGGTCCTTGTGATCTGCAGATTCTGCCTTGCACACAGCCCCACGCCGGATCTGTGGGTCGTTCTGCCTGGGTCCTCAAGGGTGTGCTGTGGAGACATCCACCTCTGTAACCGTAGCCTTTACCGGAGGCAGCCTGAGCCCGGAGGCCAGACCCTGGAGCCTCCTGACCCTAGGGCTGGTCTGTCTGTGGTCCAGGCGCCCTTCAGACCTCCAGGTCAGGCCAGGTCCCCCCAGTCCTCAGACGGGCGAGCTAGCCAGGCAGTCACTGCCAAGATGGGAGCTGAGCTGGGGCAGCCTGACCTCTGAGCAAATGCAGAAGTTGGGGGAGGAGAAGGGCACCCGCCCACACTCTGTGGTTGCATTTGGCAGGGCAGGGATAGAGCCCTGTCTGGGGTGTGGGGCTGGGCCCAGCTCTGCCCCTTGGTGTCAGGCATCTCCCCCATCAGACTGTACTTGAGTAGGCGCCAGTGCCCGAGCAGAGCAGGGAGGTACTCACTGGATGCGGAAGTGTGGGAGCCTCAGGCCAGATCTGCTCCCCGGGGAGCTCTGCAGTGGAGGGGGCGGGGAAGAGGAGAGGACTCAGGGCTCTTAGCGGCTCAGCCTGGGTCACCCTGGCTTTGCCCTCTTGCTTGGCTGGTGAGGTTGCTAGTCAGAGGGGAGAGGCATTGGCTCAGCCTGGAAGGAGGGTGTCTTGTCAGTTGGCCCCCTTCTCCTCACAGACCCGCTGCCCCCCAGGGCGCTTCTGCATCAGCTGGTCACTCGACTCATTGACATGCTGTCATTTATTAGAAATACCTGCATTAGCCGCTTACAGGGATGGGAGTCAGCATGAGGCCCTGGGGGAGGTTGCTTAACACCTGGGACATGAGATGCACAGTAAGGCCTTTAGAATACACCAGCACTGGGGTGTGGGAGAGGGAGGCTGAAGGCCTGCAGTAACCCCACTGGGCTCGAGGCTGTGTTTGGTGCTTCTGGGAATTCAGAGCCAAGGAAGCTGAGTTGTTGCCTTTGAGGGGCTTCCACTGAATCTGAGGGAAGGCAGTCACCCCCCGGGGCCAGTTCACTCCAGCAGAGTGGGGTCTGTGCTTACAGTCTTTGGGATCCACAGGAGGAAAGCCAAGTGGGCTTCCTGGAGGAGGAGGCATGTGATATGCTCCTTGTGAGCGGGTCCATTTTGATGAGGAGAGGGCAGCACGGCAGTCTGGGGTGGCAGGGGCTCAGGCAGAACTTCAGGGGGAGGGGTGGGAGCGAGGCCACCAGAGCCCCTCAGAATCGGGGTTCACTGGGCCGGTCCCAGGGAGCCACAAGGCAGCTGCTTTTGGCCTGAGGACATGCGACCTTCTGAATGAGGAAAGTCAGCCTGGACCAGTGGGACTGGGAGCTTGAAGCTCCGGAAGACATGATCGTGGCCTGGCCACAGACCACCTGACCCAAGGCCCAGGCTGCACCCCGTGCCCTGAGTTCCTTCCCGAGGCCCCGGGAGCCCCCATACTGTCCTCACAACAGAACAGCGGGCGCCTCATGCCCCACCGCCCTCTATTCCCCGCCATGGGGAGAGGCAGGTGCCTCAGGAACGCGGGGCAACAGGTTACTTGAGCGTCAGGGGCTCCTCACTGTGCCTTCACTGCCCCTCTGGGAGTCTGGGAGTCTGGGACAAAGCCACCAGGGCCTCAGTTCAAGCTCCCTTGCGTGGATCAAAACCACTCATCTCTTCGGTGGGGAGCGTGGCAGATGGGGCCGGTGGAGGTCTTTGCAGACTCTCAAGTGTGGTGCTGGGGTCCAAGAAGAGCTGAAGAAGATTCTGGTATCAGGGAAGAAGTTTGAATGGGACAGAGGGGCAACAGATTTGCAAACTGTAAAGTGCAGCCTAGTGTTGGGGATCTTTCCTGGCCCAAACCCCACTTTCCCTGTTATCTGAGTCCTTGCCTGGGGTCTCCCATTGCGATGGGGCCCGGCTCCGCCCGCAGGCCCTCCCGCCCCGGGCGCGCCGCAGCCGCTGCTGGCCTGGCTTCTGTTACCTCTGATGCTGCTCGTCCTCCTCCTGCTCCTCGCCGCCTACTTCTTCAGGTAGGAGTGTCCCCGGGGCGCGGGCGGACTTGCCCCGACCAGCTCTGAAGAGGAAATGAGCTGCTGGAGGCTGCAGGGCGGGTGTGGGCCCAGACAGAGGGTGGCGGGGCTGGTGACGGGAGGGGCTGGGGACCCGCAGGGCTGGGGACCCGAGGCCAGGGTGGCTCGGCCCAGCCATGAGCAGCAGGAAGAGCTTCTCCCGGCTCACCTGGTGGGTATCGCTGTGCAAGGTCCCTGTGGTCTGGGAAATGCCCCCAGGCCCGGAGCTAACCGGTCTGTGTCTCCAAGGTTCAGGAAGCAGAGGAAAGCCGTGGTCAGCGCCAATGACAAGAAGATGCCCAACGGGATCCTGGAAGAACAAGGTACTGGGGGTGGGGGCGGGGGGCGGGGGGCAGAGGGGGCGGGGGGTGTTGTGCTCTTTCTGACCTCACCAGGGGCCATTGTCTGCCTTTTGTTTTAAATGTTAAACTCCCTCAGCTTCGAGACTCGCTCTCCCTGGTTTGACGCTAGCCTTTACGATGGTAGAATTTTACCATTTCAAGACTTTTCTCCATTTCTCTCTGGTGGGAAACAGACACTTCCTTTCAGTTTGTGGCTCTGTTGAAAACGCTGTTCACATCCTGTCGTTTTTTACAGGGTTTTGACATGTAACATTTTTCAGTAAGCCCTCATAGTCCTTCTAGAACGAGATGGCCTGGTTCTTACCCTAAAGCGCTCTGAAGGGTTTCCCTGAAATTTGCAGTGTTTTCGGATCGCGATGCAAAAAGGGAGCCGATGTGTGTGTATGTGTAGCGGGCATGGTTGCTGTCGGTGGAGGGCCTTCCAGACCTTTCTTTCTCCGCTCTGAGTCCAGTTCAGAAAGCGTTAATGCAACTTAAAAGGCACATTGTTTCTTTGCCCCCCACACATCCAGATGGCCGGGAAAGTTGTCTGAAGCAAAAGCTTTCAAAAGTATTGGTTCACACCAGTGGCTGTCACTTCCTCTGGTCGCGTGCTGCCAGCTTGTTCCATGCTAGGAGGGAACAAACACGCTATCAGACTTCAGACGCGGTGGCAGGAGTGGCAGCAGGGACGGACTTGGGAGGGGCTCGAGGGCAGTTTCTCAGGCTTGGGGCCGGGCGTACCTTGTTAGGTGCTAACGTGGCCTCCAGGGGCCCCCTTCCTGTCCCGTCTCCCTGCCCAGCACCTTTGAGCAGCCTGAATGGGAGGGAAGAAGGTGTGGCTGGTGAGCCCCGGAGGCCCCCGCCAGACTCCTTCTGACACATCTTCTCTCCGAGGAATGAGCCTGGGGAAGGAGTTCTTGGCTGGGCTGCAGAACGGCGCTGCAGGTGGGGACAGGCCCTCTGCAGGCAAGAAAGCAAAGGCTCCATGTTAACCCTGTCGAGAATATCGGCACATTTTCCGGGGAGGGAAGCACATGCCAGGGATTTCTCCGTTTGTCTCACTCTGAGTTGATGGAAGGAATTTGTCCAGGAACTGCCCTGCAGCCAGCCCTTCCCAGTGCCTCTCTGCGCACTCACTGCCGAGCAAGGGCAGTGTTTGCCTTGTTTCTCCTGGAGCTTACGGGCTGTCCGCATCCAGGACCGTGTGTGTCACAAAGAAGACAAGGCTGATGGAGACTCATATCCTAACTGATTCCTGGTCTCTTCCCAACTCAAACCAAAATGATTCTTGCTAGTTTATTAACATAATCATCCTCCTTATTTCAATCCTGGAAAATTGAGCTGACGGGCAAACTGCCCAAATCCTTTGCAGAAGGAGCTGAGGCTAGGGGACTGAAATAAGGCGCCTGTGGTGGGTTCCCCGAGGAACGCCTCTATTTGTAATGACGTGGGTGTATCACAGGGGACAGATCTCCGCACTCAGTTGCTCAGACCCCCTCCCCGGCAGCCCGGGCTACCTGATCTAAGAGCAGTGAGCTCCCCTCCACACACACACAGCTGTGTCTTTCCTCCAGGAATGCTGTCAGTCCTTCTGGTTAAGGAGCCAGCTGTCTGGGAATGTGGCTCAGTGGCCCCCATGTTTCTTTTGGTCCCACAGAACAACAAAGAGTGATGCTTCTCAGCAGGTCCCCCTCCGGGCCCAAGAAGTACTTTCCCATCCCCGTGGCACACCTGGAGGAGGAGATCCGAGTCCGCTCCGCAGATGACTGCAAACGCTTTCGGGAGGAGTTCAATGTGAGTGGGGAGGGTCCTCTGTCTTCTTGTCCTGGGATCGAATACGCGGGCAGGTGGTACCGTATTTCAGGATCCATTGCCCGAAGACGGGAACTCTTGCATCAGTCATGACCGTATTCCCGAAGCGGGTTTCTGGAGACCTGATTTTTGCTGCAGGACGCCTCCCCACCCTTGTTGCTCCTTCCTAAGATGGGACTCTTGAGGGAGATGTTCCCAAAGGCTCCTTCCAGCGCTAACACTCGGGCGGCCGGATCCTAAAGTCCAGCATGACGGAGACTCGGGAGTCTTGTGAACATGGAGGACCAGGGCCTGAGCAGGCAGCGGTGGGACAGTTCTGTGTTGAAAGCGGGGAGCCCCACCCCACCTTTCATGGGCTTCAAAGAGCTTATGCATCTCACTGGCAGAGGAAATAGGCCTCTTCTGACCCCTGCTCAGAGCATGAATTAAGCAGTCGTGGGTCTCCCTGGGGGGGCCATGAACTCTGCCTCTGAGAGCCCTTCGGTTTGAGGTCTGCTCCAAACCCTTGCCTTCATTCGGCTACTGTGACCTTCTCTGTGACCTCAGTGATGTCCGTCAGGACAGTCCCCATGGTAGCAAACCGATTCTCCTGACTCAACAAGACTATGGACGTGTGTTCAGCATGGTCCTCTGTGTTGCTCGTGTTACAGTCAATGTCCTGTGACTCCTGAATGTGTTGGAGAGACAAGGGGCGGGGTGTGGGCGGTCCGGCAGGTAAGACAGACACTGGGAAGAATCTCCTTGGGTTTAGCTGCTCAGAGTTGATCCCTGACTATGTTTTGAGTTTCGTTTTATGCATTTTCCTGGTTTCGTGCACAGCCGTGTGCCGAGCGTGGAGGTTGCAGGAGGAGGGGCCGAGCTGACCGGCTGTGGCCCGTGGGTCCACTGCACCTGCTCCACTGGCCTCCACCGCGGGGGTGCGCCTTGGGAGCAGAGGGGCCCATCTTAGGGGCCTCATGGCTCCCTGCGAGGCTCCGACAGCAGGTTTCGTAAAGAGCAAAGCGTTGTGCGGTCGTTTTACCCAAAGATGACACTGCTTCAGGCCAGGGGACATTTCACAAGGAAGCGTCCGGTGAGGGCATGGGAGGTGACAGAGCATTTCACCTGCACTTGGCTTGTTTTTAACCCACGCCTTGTCCGCCTTTATCCTGCTTCCTTTTAATTGTTTCCCAATGTATCCCCCCCACTTTTTTTTTTTTTTTTGAGAAATTAGGTCATATTGAAAGACAGCTCTAAGCCATATTGTTTTGCAATCTGTCAGCCGCATGAGCGAAGTGAATTCCCCACGTCCAAACTCTCCAGGTTTGCGGCAGACTTTGCCCCTCCTGCCTGGTCCCAGTTGCCCTCGCACTGGGGTTTCTGCACGTGGTGGGGGGCGGCCGGGCCAGCAGGAAGCCGTGGTCAGAAGCAGCGGGCTTTGCTGCCGTCTCAGGGAGGAGTGAGGGCCACTCCGATGGAGCAGGGCCAGAAATAGGGTCAGGCAGGTGAGGCCGTTGCCCCAGGCACAAAGAAACCTCCATTCCTCGGGAGAAATAAAATTTAAGGCAACAAGCAAACATGTCAAAATCAGCGTGAACGATCCATGCTGAGCCAAGTAGCTCAATTGCGAATAAAGACGAGGCCGTGCCGACAGCTTTCTCCGACGTGGCCTGTCTCCGCAGTTACCCATCCTGGCAGTATATAAAAGTTTCATGAATGGGTCATCAACAATTTTTTTTTTTGGCTTTGATTTTGACTTTAGAAAGGAATTAAATATTCAAAGGCATTGGAATATGATTTTACTTGATTTGGGGGGCAGTTTTGGGGGCACCACTTTAAATTGGGTGCCTTACCCTTCTCGCCCTGCCCCACCCCTCCCACTGAGTGGCTTCCCCGTGGCCCCCTGGAGGCCTCTGTGCAGGGCGGGGTGGGCAGATAAGCAGAGGGGAGGAGGGCCTGGGCCTGGCGCTGGGGCGAGCTGCCGGTACTCTCTGGACCCGTTTGCTCCTCTCACGAGTGGGAGCCGCCGGGTCCTCAGACACGTTTATGTGGGTTCCCCCTTGTCAGGGCCCAGGAGCCTGCCAGGACCAGCCCAGGTCTGACTCCACACTTGAGCTGGACGACTGCATCTCATCTCCCTCCTTGGCACCCGCTGTCCTGAGTTCCAGTCCCAGAAACTGTGGAAGGGACAGACGAGTCTCAGAGTCTGACGAGTTTGGATGTGTTTATTTGCCGACCCAGAGCTTCAGTGGACTGAAAGCGTTTGGCACGGGGGTCAGCTCGGTGGAGCCGTCAGGGAGGGGACGCTGGCTTTGGCCTGCCCGGATTCCTGGCCCAGCTCGTCTCTTACCAGCCTGCAGGGCTTTGGGCCATTACTTAACCTCTGCCTGCCTCAGTTTACTCACCTATAAAATAAGGATGCTCCATCCCCTGGAGTGTCCTAATGTGTAAGAGAAGTAGTCGTGGGCCTAGCTTAGCCGCGTGTCTGCACAAGACGGGGCTGGGGCTGCCATGCTTCCGAGGACGCCTCCTGGGAACACCTAACCTCAGTCTCCACCCCTCCATGCGCAAGAGCTCTCCCAGGGAAACCTGTTCCAGGCTCCCAATTAAACCCCATCACGGGAGCGCCAGGGGAATAGCCCAGAATAGCCCACTTCCCCGGACAGAATCTTCCCGGTCTCAGACCAGCAGTCTAGCCCGGGCCAAGGCCCGGATGCAGCCTGTCATTACCGTTGTGGAAAGGCACAGGGGCGGGGCTGCTAGGAGAGGGCCCGACAGGGCATGCAAACCCGACCTGTCCCCCAGAGCTTGCTGGAACAGCTCCCACCTCGCACCTCTCTGCCCTTCTCCCCACCTCCCCAAATGCTAAGCATGGAGGAAGGGGAAGGGGTGGGACCTGGAACCCCTCCCATGTGTTCATGGACATGAAATCTCACCTTGAGGGAGCAAACAAACAAACCTCCTTCAGCCACTGTATATAACTGGACGATCAGTCATGGTATTTGGTGACCAATTAACACACGCGCGGCTCACGCCCGGCACCGCAGGGGTGACCCAGTTACGGTGGAGCCCTCCCCCGGGTGCTGTCCCGCTTCCCCTGTGCCATATGAGCAGCTGGGAGTCGAGGGTCCATGAGCACAGGGACAGCAGGAGAAAGGGATGGGCCCCTCACGGCTGTTACTCTGTGTGCTGGGCTACGGAGACGTGTTCCCTACGCAGAGCACTGGGCCTCTCACGCCAGGTGCCCCTCTGCGCCGCCCACGAAGCCAGTGTCGCCACCCCAGCTCCATATTCCGGGTCTCAGGTCCCTGCGGTGGGGACGGGTGGCAGGGCTGGGTCCACGCTTGCCACCGAGACCCCTCCGGCCTCTCTACCCACCACGCTGTAGCCGTTCACCTTCCAAGGAAGAGGGAGGCATCCCGGGTCCTCTTTTTCTCTGTCTTTTTAATGTATTATTTGTATAGACTTTGATTTGTAGAGCGGTTTTAGGCTTACAGAAAACTCGTGCAGAGGGTAGAGGGTTCCCACGTGCCCGCCCCTCCCTGCACATGGGTTCCCTGGCTGTTCTTGCCTCCGTGCGTTCCAAACGGTGAATCATGCTGACATGTTGTCATGCTCTCAAGTCCAGAGCTGGGGTTCCTGCGTCATCCATCGTGCGGGTTTTGACGAACACGTGACATCATAGTAATATACCTCATTTTTATTTTCAGGGCTGAGGTCAAAAACAGCTTTCAGGTGTAGACAATGAGAAGTCGTAGAATGTTATCACCAATTCCCTGTCCAGGGCGGGTCCAGGAAGTCAGTGTCAAGACAGCTTTGATAAGAATCAGAAACTCTAGGCAGAGAAGGTGCTGGTCCCAAGCACCCCACCACCACCTGCCCGCCCCCAGGCTGGCCTCCACACCGGCCCTGGCAGGTCCTCTGCCCATGGCCAGCCAGTGTGGTAACCCCAAAATGGGGAAAAGATGACACTGGCTGGCAGGGGCTGAGTCAGGGATGGAAAAGCCCTGTAATCCGGGAGAGGGACGCTCTGGCCACCTGTGCGTGGCAAGTTCGTCCCTCCTGACTCACGGGGTGAGGAAGCCTAGAGTCTGGGCTGCACTGTGAGCCCTGCCCCCATGCCCTTGGGACTTTATACTTGAAGAAAGAAGCACCCTCCTCGTGGCCTCTGCCCGTTTCAGGCCAGACAGCAGGCCCCAACCCCGTGTCTGCCCCTTGCAAGCCAGGGCATTCCAGCCGCATCTGCCGCAGCCGTGGGGGGTGGTTTCCTCATCTGTAAAATAGAGGTGACGCTCGTGTCATCTCAGGATCGCTTGTGATGGCCGAGGCCCCTGATGCAGCTCCTCCTGTGGGGCCCGACACACCAAAGATGCTGCAAAGACTCACTTAGTGCTTGAATTGCTGGGGTTCCCGGTCCAGTCAATGTTTAGGGTAATGTTGAAAGGCATGATGTGGGGGTTCAAAAGACTCTTACCCTCTGTGCACTGCAAAGGGGCTCATCTGAGTGCAGAGGATGGCCCAGCAGCCCCCAAATGAAGGAGCACGGCCCCAGCCGGCAGGATGGGAGGGGCCCCAAGTGGTCGAGGAATGGAAGTCAGGGAGCCCGGGTTCGCGTCCACTGAGCGGCACATCAGTTACAGGGTCCGAGTGGCCCCTTCGTGTCCTCATCTGAGGCCGGGGGATTAGGAAGCCAAGGGTGCACACAGGCCCCCTGGGGATCTTCGTGCTGGTCCCAGGTGGGGCTGGGGTCGGCAGTCGCCATGGGGCCCCTCTGAGCTCTCACTGCTGGACCACGAGCACACGGCGTCGCAAGCAGGGACCCCATGGCTGAGTACCTGGTGCATCACTGTGCCCGTCCCTCAGCCCAGCCCCAGAGGCAGAGCGTACCTTCCCAGCCCCTCTGCACAGACACCCTTGCTCTGCCCCCTCCTGGTCCCAGGCTCTCCTGTGATCGGCCGTATTTGTAGTGGGCCTGCTTTGGGTCCAGACATGTGGCTCCAGGGGACTGGGTGTCAATGCCCGGGCAAGTCCCTGACTTCATGTGTCTTTGGGTCCAACCATGGGGTCATCACTATGTCCACGGCTCCCTTGGCCTGCTAGCCAGAGTGCCTTTCGTCACGGCTCTGCCCAGCGCCAGGCACAGCCCATGGGCAGAGAGGGCCGCAGACTAGGGGGCGGGGGCTTGTCCAGATGGAGTCTTCCTCCTGCCCGCGCTCGTTAGGGCAGCTGACGTGCACACGGTGTCTGGTCCATCCCTTTTCATGCTGTGTTTTCTTTTCTAGTCGTTGCCGTCTGGACACATACAAGGAACTTTTGAACAGGCCAATAAGGAAGAAAACAGAGAAAAAAACAGATACCCCAACATCCTTCCCAGTAAGATTTTACCTTTCTTGCATGATGGGTGGCATCGAGAATATGTTCGACTTTCCCTTGTGGCTCCCGGGACTGTGCCTGTCAGGGCAGCATGGTGGTCGAGGGCTCAGAGATGAGGGCCCGCACCCGCACCGCTGCTTGGCGTTTGCACTGGAAGTGTAGATGCCCATCTCCCATGGGTGGCCTGGGCCACCTCTGTCGTGGTGGGTCTGGCCACCAAGCCTGTGCTTAGTGTTGAGACCCATGCTGCCCAGGGGCCAAAGGGAGTGTCACCTGCACAGGCTGGTGGGGCCCTCCTTCGGGATCCAGTCCTGAGCCCATCTTGTGCTGGTGGCCCTGGCCCTCTCCTTGTCTCAAACTCTGTGCTCCTGGTACCAGCAGCAGGTCCCCTGGACTAGAGACAGAAGCAAAAGAATAAGAAATGCCTGGGGGTTTGGCAACTTTGTAGGAAGGCTGAGAAACCCCAACCACTACGGGAACCCAGGGGGAGGCCTTTGGGGCCAGGTTGGCTGACCAGTCTATCCAGGAATGTGGCTGGATGGGCCATGCCCTGGGGGCAGCTCTCACAGCCTCGCCAGGACAAACCTGAAAGTTCCTAGTTGCCCTTATACAAGCTGGCTGAGGAAGGAGGGTTTCCGTACTCTTCGTGCAGCTGGACCCCCACTGTGAGCTTTGCCCATTGGGCTGACAAAACGGTAGCCAGGAAGGGTTTAAATCCTGAACCCCAGGCCTCCCAGGCATGCCCAGAGAGCCTCCCTTCTCCGACAGAGCCTCCGTGGGAGCAAGGAAGCTAGCCTGTGCAGTGGGCTTCAGGCCGTGGACTCTTGGTTGCATGTTCAGGATCAGAGTCTTCTGTAGGCCGGAGAAGCCATGGTCTGCCCAGTTTGTGTGGCCTCTGGACTCTCAGTGCTCGATAGAAATAATTCTTCCGAACTTCGCAGAGGATTTACATGTGTTGTTTGCGAAGGCCCCTGTGAGGCTGTGATCCAGATAAAATGAAAAATAACCAAATAGCCATTGGGCCAAATCGTATTTGTATAAGCCGTCAAGGGAGCAGCAGGGAGATTCGTCAGGAAGCTGTGTGGCCCTGCCGCTGGGTGGGGGAGGAGACTTGGGCCCACATTAGACTCTGGACATGCGGGGAACGGTTTGGGAGGATCGGGCGTGGGGTGTCAGAGAAGGGAGGAGGCCAGCCACTGGGCTTGACCCGGTCCAGTGAAAGGAGAGTCGTGGTGGGAGGTTTGGGTTCTTTGGGATATTTTGTGTCAAATGAAAACTGGGATATTTGGAAAGTAATATTATTATCAATTATTGGATTAACTAATTAGCTTTCTTAATTCATTTACTTTATTCACTGAGCTGCTGAATGCGTAGGTTGAGGACTTAGTCTGAACCAAGTGCTTCTCCGGGTTCCTGTCCCCCATTTGTCTCTTGCTTACTAAACCCCCATAGTTTTTATTTTATATTATCTTTTACTTTTTTATTTATTTATTTGTCAGAGAAAGGGAGAGATTGAGAGAGAGCACAAGCAGGGGGAGCAGCAGGCAGAGGGAGAAGCAGGCTCCCGGCTGAGCAGGGAGCCCGATGGGGGACTCAACCCCAGGACCCTGGGATCATGACCTGAGCCGAAGGCAGATGCTTAACGACTGAGCCACGCAGGCGTCCCACCCCTCTAGTTTTTAAAAAGGTGACATTTACACTGAAAATTAACAGTATTTTTGGTGAGGCCTCAGTGGGGGTGGGACTAATGGCCAGGTGTGGGAATTAGCTGCACCCGTCCCACTTCGCAGAGGTGATGGGCCAGGGTGGGGGACTGCCTCCCCCAGCAGCAGAGCCCACCCCCTGCATGTTGGCTCCAAGCTGTGTTCTCCAGCTCGTGCTGTGGAGGGAAGTGGGCCTTTCCTGCTAGTGTAAACCTGGGACGGGGCCAATCCTGCGTCCTCCCACGCTGGGAGAGGGTCCAGCCCCAGCCCTCTCCCGCCCAGGCGCCCCGTGCCAAGGAGGCGGGGTGCTGGCAGTCATCAGGGGCCAGGACGTTCTGCCCGGATGTAAGGTGTTTCTCGTGGATGGGACACTGGGTCTCTGGGATGGTGACATGGAGACACTTGGGATGTGCCCTAAAGATCACCAGTGGGGGGGATCCGGCATCAGCAAGGCACAGGCTGAGGGAGGGGGCGTCTCCTTAAACTGAGGAGTTGGCCAGAGATACCCCCGGGGCCGGCTGGGGGCCGGGGACAGGAATGGGCTGGTTCACTGGAGGTGGTTCACGGGGTCTCGGGTCCACGAGGCCGGGCTGTAGAAAGCCTCGATGGCTGGCAGGAGACAGCATCCTCTTCTCCGGAAAAACAGCAACCGCCGATCACGTCAGGAAATAATGTTTTGAAAGTGAAGTGTGACTTTCAGAATAAAAAGACAGGAAGCTCTTAGAAACTGTGAGATTCTAAGTTAACCGGGAGTCTGTTTTCTGCCCTCTGCTCTCTGTAGCTGCTCTCGAAGCGTAAACTGTACCAGATGCTTTTCAGCCAGCTTTACGCACGTTCAGGACGAGCTATTTCTGCGTCAGGGCTGTCGGCCCCTGGGGGTGGGAGGGTCTCACAGAAATGCCCGCCTGAGCTGGACCTTTGGCGTTGGATACCCTGACGGCCCCATATAGGTCATGACTTTCCCTGGGAGCCCCACCGGCCCGTCATGCTAGGACGGGACGGATCTGGCCCAGCAGTGCGATGTCCAGACAGCGGTTGTCTGAGGCCGGCCCGCCTTCCAGGCTCGCGGGCAACAACAGCTAGGATTTGGGGTCCTTGCCCCAGAGCCACACCACAAACACAGCCTTCTCAGTTGGTGTCAGTCCTGTAGGGACTAGGGAAGATAAAGCGGGAGGAGGATACAGAATTTCTCCAGAATCCATGCAGTAAATGCCTATGAAGCCCACATCCTCCACCAATCTCTGTGCCCGGCACAGCGTGACTAACCCCAGAAGCACCTGTGACCCTTGACCCAGGCCCTGGGCCGAGTCTGGGCGACCCCACTATCGCTCCTCCCAGGAGGAATAGGGGTACGCCAGCGAGGAGACCCAGGCCCCGGCCTGCAACACTTTTAATGTCTCATGAAACTATCTAATTTCCTTTAAAATCAGAAAATAATATACACGTAATCCAATCTGGGTTACATTAAGCTTCATATTAACTCGTAACGCAGTCATAAAATAAAATGTTTCATCTTTTTTTTTTTTTTTTTTTTAATGGAGGACATGGCCTATGAAGGTAGGAGTGACAAGGGTCCACCGAAATCACAAGGGGACCCTGGCTGAAACCTCCCTGAGGTGTGTGTGCACACACACTCCCCACAAACACACACTCAGAAAGAATCAGAGAAAACACGCTTACACCACACACCCACATATCACACCCTCACACACCGTGAAAACACCCCACACAGACCTCTCCGTGGTCGCCCTCCCACTCTGGGCACTGCTTGTACAACAAGCCAGAATCTTCCCGGCAGGTGGCCCCCCTGTGCTCAGCCCAGGTCTGTGTGAGTTCTGCCCACTTTCCATCCCTAGAGATCTGAAGGCTGATGGCTGGAGTGTGGAGTCTGCTTGTCCTTTCCCTGGAAAGCCTGGGAGAGGGGGGACCCCGTCCTCCCATCCAGGGTTATCCTGAGTACACCAACTGGTGCCCAGCTGGGGTTTCAGAGAAGCCTATGGTGATCTCACTGTAGGATCCCAGCACGTGCTGCTGCTCCGGGTCTAGGGGAGATCCAGCGGTCCCCACTTGAATCCTTACCTCCGCTGTCATGCCGCGGGTTTTACTGAGCCGCTGGCTAGGGTCTGGCACTGTCCTCCATGCTGAGGCCCAGTATTCAGTGAAACAGATGTGTTCCCACCGTCATGCCACGCGGGGTCTCCTGACGCCTCCTCGGTCCCTGTGATCACCGTGGGAAACCCGGTCGTGTCCTTTGCAGTGTTTAATGCCATAGATGGAAGATATGTACGTGTTATGTTTTGTTGTTTCTTTTTTAAACAGATGATCATTCCAGGGTGATTTTGAGCCAGGTGGATGGAACCCCGTGTTCAGATTACATTAATGCTTCCTACATAGATGTAAGTCTGCCATTTTCCTGTCCCCCCTGCCCAGCATGATGTGCACGTCTGGACCATTTGGGGGCTCAGTGTGAATCATGACTTTTCTCTGGAGGACCAGGAATTAAATTATCACAACTTTCATGGGCCATTTGGCCATAGCACGGATGGCGTGGATGCTACCAGGCCTTTTGAATTAGCGTCTGTCTGGGGATTCATTTTTAAGAAGCCTAGAAGCACATGGGACATTTGTTACAGAGTTCTTTATGTTACTGATAAAACAGGTTAGGAGGGACCAGTAGGACAGGTTTATGGTCAAACCATATCGGCTGGATTAAGAACCCACTTTAACTGAAACTTAAAAAATCATTTAACAGTAATTATAAAATCATCATGAAAACCATGAAAACACAGTGGAGGAGAATTTGTATCTATTAACCAGTTAAGAATATATAAATGTGGTGTGTGTGTGTGTGTGTGTGTGTGTGTGTGTGTGTCTGTGTGTGTGTGTGTGTCTGGGCAAGTATTAATGGAAACTCGACAGAGGGACGATCAAAAGTAGCACAATTTCTGAAGTTGCTAGTGAGTTTTCTTCCTATTTCTGTGTTTTCCAAGATTTTCGTGATTACTATGTTACCTTCCAAACAACAATGAAATCCTTCAGCAGAGGCAATTACGAAAACCTACCGACCCGATTTTATCGTTCTAGGGTTACAAAGAGAAGAATAAATTCATCGCCGCTCAAGGTAAGCTTCTCACTGTGACTTGCAGAAGATGATTCGGGTAAAATGATGAGGACGGCGACCGTGTCCTCATCTGACGGCTGGAATGCGGGGGCTCCATTTCGGCTTCTTGTCTGTGTGCCAGGCTGCGTCTCTGTGGCCTGAATGCAGTCTGTCCCACCTGTCCCACCTGTCCCACTTGTCCCGTCTGTCCCACCTGTCCCTGCGTCTCTAATCTCGCAGAGCCTTGTGATGCAAGGCAGTGCTCTGCTGACCCTGAGTGTCCTGGGAGCTGGGCAGAAATGCTGGCCTAGAGTCTGCGTCTTTGAAAGCGTCCCGAGGTCGTTCTGTGCATCTGTGTGCGAAGCCCGTAAAGCTCATTCTGTGTACAGAGCTTCGAGAACGCAGACACGTTGGAGCCTCTGGGCGCTTTGTCCCCCTCTGTGGTCAGGGCCAACTGATAAGGAGCATGGCGGGCGAGGTCATTTCTAAGTGTGGGTGTAACAGGCGTGTCGGGTGCTCATACACACAGTGTGTAGGTGTAGACAGACAGACACACCTCTTTTCCACATCTGCCTGAGTCAAACAAAGCCAGGGCACGCAGGAGCCCAGCAGTGACCGTCTCAGTGGGCTGCTTGTTAATTTAGACAGACTTGTATCTCTTTCAGTTGGCTGAGCTCTGTGTGGCTCCCATGTGGTTGTTGTTTTTTGGGGCGGGGGGAGGGTGAGTAGCTTTTCAGATCAAGGCCATAGCCATGAGGATGCTTCAGCCCCAGCAGCAGGCCCTCAGCCTTGCCCACAGGCCACTTCGTGTGTGTGTGTGTGTGTGTGTGTGTGTGCGCGCACGCTTCTGATCTGGGCTACCATCCATCGCCCCACGAGCCGGGGCAGGCCAACAGCCAGTGTCTTCAGCAAGAGTCGTTCAGAGAGCAGGTCCCAGAAGTCAGTGTACATCAGCGTCACTTGAGAACTTACCAAAAATGCACGCTCCCCAAGAAACAGGGCAAGGCACATGCGCCTACACCCAGAGGACAACAATGTTGGAAAACCTGACAGACGTTAGCTGACACAGATAGAGGCTCCTGTCTCTCTCTCTCTCTCCCTCTCTCCCTCTCTCTCTCTCTGTCCTTATAAGCAGGGGAGGCAGCCCAGGGCTGAGGCAGCAGCTGCAAGGAGAGGGGCCTCTGTGTCTTCCTGCTCCGCCCTCCGTGACGTGTCACTGTCTTCCTCTGGGTCACAAAATGGCTGCTGCGTCTCTGGGCTCTGTGTCTGTATTCAGGCAGGAGGGAGGGCAAAGGGCAGAGGACTTTCTTCTGGGGATGCTTTATCTTTTGCTCCGGCCGCGTCTCCCTGGACGGCCCTGAGTACGGCCCGCTGCAGGGGTCTGGGACACACGGGCAGGGGGTCAGACACGGAGGGCGGGTCGGCCAGCCTGCAGTCTGTGTGTGTGTGTGTGTGTGACACACGGACACCTGTGCCATTCTGGAGTGGGCTCTGGTCTCCGCAGGCTTGACGAGCCCCAGAGTGGACACAAGCTGCTGTGACACACAGGCTGACCCGAGCCTCATCTGGATCCCCTTTACTGCTTGTGAACAGGGTCACCCCCAGGTGCAGATGCGCAGCCCCCCAGGACTCCGCAGCCCCAGCAGGGTAGCGGAGCGGGTGGGGTGCTGCGGCAGGACGGGCGGGGAAGCGGCAGATCTCCAGGTCGGCTGAGCAGCACTTTCGTGCCTCGGAGCAGCAGGGCGGTGGTGGCCTCCCCGGGGCCCCACAGCCAGGGTGACGGGGGCTGGGACCCCCAGGGCCCCTCTTCAGGTCTGACTTTGGGATCATCCCCTATCTACAGGCCCCAAACAGGAGACAGTTAACGACTTCTGGAGAATGATCTGGGAGCAGAGGTCCGCCACCATCGTCATGTTGACGAACCTGAAAGAAAGGAAAGAGGTGAGCTCGGCCTTCTGACTCACAGAGGTTGCTCTTGTAGCTTCCGGGGCTTCGCTGGGGGGCGTGCTCGCCACATCCTTTTCCTATTCCTCGCCCTTATCACCACAGAAGAAGAAGAGAAAAAAACAAAAAGCGAAAAACCCACCAGGGGCTCATAGCAATCTTATCCTGAAATAAATGTGCTGTGTCCCCAGCATCCCCCTGCTCTGGACCGTGATACAGAAATGTCACGCCGTTCATCCTTTCCTCAGCCAAGGTTCCCCGGTCAGCCGACTGCTCTTACGCCTTGGCGGGAGCCACAGACCTCAGAAATGAGAACCTCAGAGTTTTCAGGCTGGTAAGCTAGTGGGCCTCAGACTAGAGTTAAAGACGGATTTACTGCTTCTTACCCAGACGAGAGAAAGGAATTTGGAAAACAAGGCGCATCGAAGGGGTGTCACTCTCATCCCTGTGCGAGCTTTTCTAAAATAAAACGGGATGTACGTACTTTATAAGAACTCGAAACCTCTAGAGAGAAGAAGGATAAATGGATTCACTTCCTAAACGTGACAGATGTTCCTTTGCGTCCACTCTCCTGGACAGACAGTGCGGGGCCGAGGGGCGTGCTGTGAACCAGCTCACAGACCCTGGCCCCCACGATTTCTGTCCCCCTGGGCAGAGCAGACGCCAAACAGAAAGCAGAGCAAGGTAAACTGTGTCAGGAGGCGACATAGAAACAGCAGGGGGCACAGGGCCAGTGGTGGGCAGGGAGGGCGGAGCAAGCCCAGCGGACAGAGGGTTCCGAGGGTGTGGTGGGGGGCGTGCCAGGCCTTCTTTGTGCGTCCAGCCCTTCCCTTCCTACCCCCGGGAATAAGGCAGAGCACAGCGTGATTGTGGCTTCGGGGGCAGGAAGGAGGGAGACCCCCAGAGGAAGCAGCGCTTCCCTTCCTTGGGTATGGGTCGAGGCAGGGCCCGGAGTGGCACCGTATCTCCAAGGCTGGAGGGAACTTGACCAAACACAGCCCAAGAGAGGCAGCACCCGGCAGGGTGATGGGACTATGAGGCCAGGAGTGGTCTGCTGGGCCTGCAGCCATGCTGGGAGGAGAAAGGCGAGAAATGCGTCAGGGAACCGGGCTCGGGCCTCCGAGGGGAGGCCGAGACGGGTCCCGTGGGAGGCTTCTCAGAAGAAAGCAGGACCTGAGTTATAGAAAGTGAGCTTGCTCTCCAGATTAGAACAGTTGGAGGCTAGAAGGAGACTTGCTAGTCATGGGGAGACTGTTCTAGCATGTTCCAGTGTGCGGGCCAGAACAAAGTGGTGGCAAGCAGGTGGAGAGGAAGGGCCAGCGTGCTGGGAGACCTCTGTCCTGCTGGTCCCTGCTGTTCCCCACCCCAGCCCTGCTGTCACTCACTGGCCTGGGACCCAGGCAGCTAGGCTCGGGCTGTGTCCTCTGAGACAGAAGTCGTGGGCCGGGCCAGGGGACCTCAGCTGGGGCTCAAGGCAGACACTGGTCCACAGGCAGGACAGGCAGGGAAGAGCCCCTCCCGGTGGCCACCTTCGCTAATTTGTTTCATACGTGCCAAGTGGCACAGGAAAAAGCCTCCAGTTACCATTTCCTGTCGGGTAGGATGGGGTTTTTGTTTTGTTTCCAAGGGGGTTGGGACTGGGCTGGAGAGGGCCACCCCCTTCCCACAGAATGAATCCTGCCCCGTGGATGGAAAGAGTGACAGGAGTCAGGGGATTTGAAGCAGGCACGCTGAGCCCTTCCCATGCTCCGAGCAGATGCCTGGCCAGGACCTGGCCCCCAAAGAGAAGGAGGACGCTGCCCTGGGAGCCCCAGGGTTCCCTGGGACCGGCAGCCCTCATGCTGCCACTTGAGCAGTGCAGGGATGGGGGTAGTGAGGAGGAGGGAGACCCAGTGAGACCAGCACAGGAGCAGCGGGTCTCAGAGGACGCCTCCGTTTCCTGCAGCAGGCATCCTGTTGCATGTCACTGGACATTTTCTCTCTGATCTGTCTCCGAAGCCTCCTACTGGATTTTTCCATTTCTGTGACTCAGAGCTGGCCGGTTTCTGTATCTTGATTTTCACCATTTCAGATGAGATCATTTCTCAATAGAGTTCCCTTTTCTTACTTGGTTACACTTCTGTTGTCCTCTCCCTGGCTTCAACATTCTGGCGAAAGGTTGTGAAATTTAGTTGCTCCAGCATCTCATGATCTGACCAGAGGGAGGGGACTGTGGCCGCAGCAGGACCAGGAGGCCGAGGCTGAGGGCGGAGAAGCTTCCACATGCACAGCCCTGTGGGGGGCCCAAGACTCAACCCTCAGGCCCAAGTGAGGGCCTTTCAAGGGAAGCAAGCATCTCAGGGGGTCCTGGAGGGTCCCCAGGGGGCTAGGAATGGCCCAAACCAGCACCTTTGAGCTTCCGATTCTCCTTGGGATGCTTCAGAGATGTCCTGGAGGAAGGAGGGGACATTGTCCTGTTAGGACGGCGTCCTCACGCTCTCCTGTGTCCTGTACTCACAGCGGCCTCTTCCGCCCTAGGCTGCAGGTTCACAGTCTCCACGTGTAGCCACCGGAAGCCCAGAGGGAGGGCTGGTACTGAGATGGGGCTCTGTGTGCAGGGCACCTGTCCTCCGTGGGCCCCTGCTTCAGCCAGAGCACAGACTCGGGACTGCCCCCCACTAGCTGCACGGCCTCGCATTCTTGGCCCTTTCCCAGCTCCGGGAACTGCCTGAGGGAAGCTGGTGTGTGCCGATGGCGGGGCTGGGGGCGCCCCCACACCTGGTTATCTCTGTGCAACCACCCCGTGTAGGAGAAGTGCTCGCAGTACTGGCCGGACCAGGGATGCTGGACCTACGGGAACATCCGTGTGTGCGTGGAGGACTGCATGGTTCTGGTAGATTACACCGTCCGGAAGTTCTGCATACAGTCCGTAAGCACTTTCAGTTACTGGCTTTCTAGAGAGGCCGTCCTGCGGAGAGCAGTGTCAGGAGCAAATATGCGTCTAATTTTTATAATATGAAGATTTGCCCCACCCCCCCGCCGGTGCTGTAGGAGCTCTCGCTGAGTGGGGGCTGGGGAGGGCCAAGTGCAGGGAAGGGACAGGGTCGGGCTTAGTGGACTGAGGGTGTGGATCTACGCAGGAGGAGACCGGTGCCCAGGGGTCTTCAGGCAGCCCCGGGCCCCCCTCACCATCTTGGGTGGAGGAAGTTGTCACTTGGGGGAGGGGCACCAGGACTGGTGGTTCTCGCCCAGTAGCATGATGTCATTTCACATGCCGAAGTGGTAAGGTGGGATTTTTTTTTTAACAGTCTCAAAATTATTTCTGTAACGTCCTCCGTGTTTGTCATACTTATTTCCTGCTCATCCCTGCCCCATCCCTGCCTAAAAGAATGCAAAGCATTCTTCCATACAGATGCCTGTGTCCAAAACAGACGAACAGAGATCTAAGATATATATATATGATAATATATATAAGTTATATATATATCAGATATATATATATATATATAAAAGGGAAAAACAGAAGGTCATGGTGTCAGGAGTCAGAGGAAGGGGAGTTGGCATTGTGACCTGCACAATGAGGTTTCTAGAAGCCACAGCAAAGAAGGGAAGAGGACGCGCTTTATCGTTTTTACTGTCCCCTGCCCGTGTCCCTCACGGTCACACTCACACATGCACGTGCACCTGCGTGTACACCACTAGCCCTCCGTGATCTGGGGCAGAGAGCCGTGCTCACAGGCCGTGGGTGGGTTGGCCGTCCACATCATCTTCTCCCTCCAAATTAAGGCACTGTGGGGAGTGAAAGGGCGCGCTGCTGCGGGAAGGAAGTGGGGCTGCCAGGCCGACGGGGACGTGGCCGCCCTGCTCACAGTGGGGGCTGGGAGCCCGAGGGCCAGCTTCTGGATGTGTCTGGCTGCCCGAGGCCAGCCTTCCGTGGGCCTGGGACAGGCTGCAGGTCCCGCTCTGCCAGTCCTGCCCGCAGGTAGCACACCACCCGTGTCCTCCTTGCTGCCCAGGGTCTAGACAGTGGGGTGGGGTATGGGGGTGGGAGGGAGCATCCTCAGAGAGTGGTGTTGGGGGAGGGGCCCTTGCCCCCACTCACACCTCCCCATCTCCCGCAGCAGCTCCCCGATGGCTGCAAAGCCCCACGGCTTGTCTCCCAGCTGCACTTCACCAGCTGGCCCGACTTCGGAGTGCCTTTCACCCCCATCGGGATGCTGAAGTTCCTGAAGAAAGTGAAGGCCCTCAACCCCGCCCATGCCGGGCCCATCGTGGTCCACTGTAGGTATGTCCGCGTGGGGCCGTCGTGGGTCATGCCCCGTGGGCCATTGCCGGTGTGGGCAGGAGGGCAGGCGGGGTGGAATGAAGCAGCCTCTACTCACTGGGGACAGAAGTGACACCTCAGAGACCCCCTTGGGGTGAGAGTTGGGGGGACGTGTGGCCCACTCCGTGAGAGCAGAACCCTTTGCTTAGCGGCATCTGAGGGGGAACCCCAATACCCAGCACAGATAAAATCCAAGAGGCCAGGTAGAGGGAGCTAGTGGGGCTCTGGGCAGGTTCACTTGGCCTCCCCTCCCCTGCCCCCAGAGACCCTCAAGTCACCTCTGAGGATAGAGCTGGAAACCACACTTCTATGGGGAGCCTCCTGTGTTGAGACAAGAGTGCTCAGAGGAGCTGGGGGCCACGGTCCAGGCCCAGTGAATAGCAGCCCCCAGCAGCCGTCCAGGGCCGGAAATCCTGAAGGCCTGGCTCTGTGGTCTGGGCTTCCCCTTCTCCTGCCAGCTGCATTCTCCTCCTCTGCAGTGGGAGGGACCATCCTGGAGGGCCCTGGACTTGCCCCGGAGGTGAACTTCACACAAAGCTAAGATCGGCATAAGCTGTCAACACTGTGATTATTCCTTGGGTTGTGGAAAAGCAGCTTCTGAAAGTGAGCCCTTTTTCCTGAGCAAGTTGTCCTCTGTCTTTGCACACCTTGGTGTCCCTGGTGGTTTTTGTACTGAATTTTCATTTCTTCTGGAACTCGTGGAACCATAGAGGCAGGGCATAAGTTATCCCCTCTGTGTCTTACATCTCCATGCCCAGTTTGGCTTCTGGTGCAGGAGGTCATGTCCGAGAAAAGGCCTTGGACTTGGAGTTGGTAGACTGGCCTGTGCCCATTCTGGCTTTGGAGACAAAAGCAGAAAGATGAAGAGTGCTCCCTTGCCAGACTCCCCGTCCTCCCAGTGGGTGCTTGGTTAGAACCTGCAGACAGTTTGGAGATCAAAGGGGAAAGCCTTGTCATCCTGGCTGGGGAGGGAGTCCTGGACCTGCCCCTTGGGAGATGAGGGACCCTGGGGCAACCGTGCATTTAATGAGGTGGCGCCTAGGATCGCGGGGGCCGGCCCTGCCAGCCCCGCCCAGGAGCTGTACTGGGGCAGGGATCTGCAGGCCAGTCCTGCTTGGCCCCAGCGTGGGGTCCTTGTCAGCCACTCCTGTTCTTGCCCAGACTTCACGGAAGCCAGAGTCTCCTTGTGGCTTCTTCCAAACACCTGTATGATGGAGTCAGAGCATCTGGATCACCTATGCAGGTGCCTTCTGTCCTTTGTCCCCTTTGTCCTTTGGCAGTGCCAAGATCCTCCCAATGACCTTGTCTGTAATGGCCAAAACAGGTGTAATCAGGGTGACAGCCTGGTGAGCAGGGCCCTCCCTCCTTAAGGCGGGTGCAGGCCTGGACAGAAGGGCCTGAGTCCCTGTCCCTGCCTAGGGACTTCCGAGACCCCATCAGAGATCCGGGCCCTGCTGTGGCAGAGACCGTGGGGACTTCAGTAGCCTGTCTTCAGGATCCAGAATCCGAGCCGGAGAAGTCCTGGCAGGAGGGGCCGACAAGACCCTTCCCGCTGCTGCCTCTCCCTGGCTCAGGCTTCTGGTGGTGGCTGGCTGCTCAGCTCCGGATGGTGGGCGCAGGGGGAGGATAAAGAAAAGGCCTCTGGGTTTGGGTCAGGGCTGGCTGCAGGGAGCAGGCTCAGTCCTGCTTTGTCCCCGATGTGTCCAGGTCTGTCATGCATGGGAGACCTTAGGGAATGACCACTCTCCTTTTTCTGCTTACTTCCTCCCCACCTCAGGGCCCCAGGACACCTGCACTTGCCATTTATCTTATTTTCATGCTGGGTCCCCGTCCGTGGCCTCAAGTCTCTGCCTTTGCTGTCGAACATGCGGTTGCCTCCCTGTGGCAATGTTTTACTTCCGCCCGGCTCCTGCGCCTCCTGGGTTCTCTGGCCTTCTTTAATGTTCTGTTTGGCCACCGGGGTTTTAGTATCTGGGAAGTGGGAGGAGGGGCACTCTCCGTCTCCGGCTTCCCCAGGTCCCTTTCCTCCCTGGAGGGTCCTTCCCCTTCCAAGCCCAGGCCCCTGTGAGCCGCCCCGGATGGTGTGGGCAGATGGGCGGTTCTGGACGCCTGCCTGACTGCAGTCATGTGATGACTTTGGCAGGAATTCCTGCCAAAGGGTACAGGCCTGCCAGGAACTGGCAGGGTGGGGGAGAGGGCTCGTGCTGGCTGGACCACCCTCCCCTTCCCAGAGACTCAGGGTAGAGCTGACTTCACATCCCGCCTCCAATTTCATCCTCACACCGGAGCTCCTCAGTTCTAAGCCGTGTCGGGCCCAGGGCTCTGGCTCTCCCTGGTTTCCATCCCCGCTGACACACTCATCCAGAACGACCTTCTCTGCCAGAGTCCTCTTAGGAACCGCATCCCCAAGGAGGCTGGCTGAAGGACGGCCTGGCCCTCGCCTTTTCCTGGGGCGCCAGCGCAGCCCTGTCCCAGTGGCGAGGCAACCTCTCCTGCGTGCACCCTGGGCCAGGCGAGGGGTCCCGTAAGCGGCCCAGGGACCCTGACCGCCTTGCACTAGGTGATTTTGTGGCCTCCTTCACCTACGTATTGGGCAGGGCATCTCACGGGGCTCTGCACCTGTAAGAGCTAAGACTCCCCAAAGGGCACCTCGTGTTTGACCTGCTTTCCCCCCTGAGATGAGGGGGTCTGGCCCGGAATAGGGTCTTCACTGCTGTTCTCAGCCAGATTCGGAGACTGACTAGAAAGAGCAGTATCTCCCCCCGACCCTCCCAAAGGGGAAAGTGGGGGGACGTCACTCTTTAAGTTGTGAGTCTTTGTTAGAGAGGTGACTTTCCTTTTGCTACAGAGGTTAACGCTGCAGGGGCCAGAGGGGGCAGGCCCGCTTTCACGACAGACACTGCACACACCAGGCCGCCTCACGAGGGTTTACTCGTTGAGCGAGTGTTGAATGAGCGCGACCGAGTGTCAGCTCTGTCCTGGGCACTGGGGAACAAACATGCACAGCCCACCAGGAGACCCACCCGGGACAGCAGGTCGGGAGGGACAGACCCGAGGTCCCAGAGGTGCTGTGGGGCGTGCGTTGGGAGGGCAGGAAACTCAAACCCAAGAATCTAGTTGGGCTGCTTGCTTCCTAGCCGGGAGACGGCTCCACAGAGACCCTCCTTCTCGTGCCAGAGAGCACAAGCCGGTGCCTCCCCTTCCGGCTGACCTTGGCTCAAGAGCCCGTCAACCTAGCCTGGGAACCCCCTTTTTGTAAAGAACCCAGAAAAGCCATTTCAAGTGTGACATTTCAAAAAATCCACTTACACACGTGACAGCAAGATAGCATCTGGCAACGGAAGAAGACGATTCGCACAATGTCACGGACAGCAGCTACAACAGATCATTCCGACGCTCCTTTTAACCATTTCTGTAGTTCCTAGAGAAGGATTTGGGATAATTTCACTGAGACTATGGTGCCCTCTGGTGGCTGCGCCCAAGATTTACTCTTTATCGATGGAGGAAAGAGGGTGTTGAGGGCTGGGGTGGGAGTCCCCCAGGGATGGGCGGGGCTGTCCTCCTGTCCTGGTGCACAGGTAGGTCCGCTCTGCAGTCCCATCATTTGCTGTGGGCGGAGTGGGGTGCTCTGTGCTTCACGATGGGACATCTCCCCTTTTCCTGAAAGCGCTGGCGTGGGCCGGACGGGCACCTTCATCGTGATCGATGCCATGATGGACATGATGCACAGCGAGCAGAAGGTCGATGTCTTTGAATTCGTGTCCAGAATTCGCAACCAGCGCCCTCAGATGGTGCAAACAGACGTAAGTAGCGCCTTTCCACGGCCCCACACCCGTCCTGGTGTGAGCGGTGCAGAGCGTGGAACCCAGAGCCTTGGGCCACTCCCAAACCACACGACTGTCCCCGATGCAGCACAAATAAAACAGAGCCTGGTGGGGACAGCACACTCAACAGTGCCAGCTGACCTACTCCCCTTCCTCAACACCATAAATGGTCATTACTAATGGCTGTCCCCCTGAATGTCCCAGACCTCCTTCCCCAGGCAACGTGTGCAGAAGGGGAAGCCCCCAGGGGCAGCAGGGCGTACGCGAGGGTGCTGGGTGCTCTGGGTATCCCTGCAGATGCAGTACACGTTCATTTACCAAGCCTTACTGGAGTACTACCTCTACGGGGACACCGAGCTGGACGTGTCCTCTCTGGAAAAGCACCTGCAGACGTTACACAGCACCGCCGCCCACTTCGACAAGGTCGGGCTGGAGGAGGAGTTCCGGGTACGTGTGAACGGACCCCGGGGGAGGACGGCTGGCGGGTCGGAGGAACCGCTTTCGATCACTGCCCTCCTGCTGGACCCCAGAAAAAGCAGGGTGGCTGCCCCAGCCATGACGTAGGGGAAAAACAATCAGGGGCTTTGAGGTGGGAGCAGCAACCTGCGTGGGGGAGGGTGTCGTGCCCACGATGTCTTTCCCCAGATTAAGGAAACAGCTGGAGGAGGAGAAAGATGAACACATGCCCCTGGGAGAGGTGCTGTGCGGGGCTGAGGGGCTCGCTCGCCAGTGTCAGTGTTGTGACTGCGTGGTTCTTGGTTGTAGAAACTGACCAATGTCCGGATCATGAAGGAGAACATGAGGACGGGCAACCTGCCTGCGAACATGAAGAAGGCCAGGGTCATCCAGATCATCCCATGTAAGGCAGCCCTAGGGGATTTCAGCCCTCAGGACAGGCGGGATTGGGGTCGGCACCCGTGGAAGTCTTTGACCACCCACTTCCGCGAGCCGGGGCCCAGGGCAAGACACCCTCTGGGCCTGCGGTTAAGGGCTCCTGGGGGTGATGGCGAGGGCTGGGAAGAGAAGCAAGGACAGGTGACCCAGACAGTCCTGGGTGTCAGGTGGGCAGCTCGTGATATGAGACATAGATGATGGGAGAGGGAGCAGTTCCTGGAAGTGGAGAGATTTGCTTTGGCCATGACTCTGGGGCCACCAGATTCCCATGTCATCCAGTCATCCCCTAAGCCTGTACATGGGGGAAGGGGTCCTGCTCCAGGCCTAGGGGAGGTGGGAAACGGGCAGGGGTGCCGTCAGGACCCTAGCCTACTGAGGTCCCGGGTAAGGGGGACGAAGGATGCCTACATTTGAGGGGGGAAGCAGAGAACTTCACAGGGATCAGAGGAACTGTAGGAAAGGAAAGAGAGGGTCTGCTTTGAGGAGAGGGAGCGCCTCGTGGCAGGTGGACCCTAGGCCCCGGACATGCCCTCGTGGTCACCGAGCATCAAAAGTGCACTGGGCCTGGATGAAGCCTGCCGCAGCCTCAGACCCCGGCTTCTTGGTGGCTGTGGCTGCCGCCACTCCAGGCCACCTGCCTGGCCACACTCCTTTCCCCTCATGAAATGTGATTTTTTAAAAGATTTTATTTATTTATTTGACAGAGAGGGATCACAGTTAGGCAGAGAGGCAGGCAGAGAGAGGGAGAAGCAGACTCCCTGCTGAGCAGAGAGCCCCATGCAGGGCTCGATCCCAGGACCCTGGGACCATGACCTGAGCCGAAAGCAGAGGCTTAACCCACTGAGCCACCCAGGTGCCCCTGAAATGCGGTATTCTTAACGCTCCTATTGTGGTCTGAATTACTTCAATTCATGACAAATGAAAATGTTAACTGCAATATTTTCAGAGCTTTCTTTCCTACCAAAACATAATTTTCTGGGCCAATTTAATTAACCTATTTTATAAAGTAAACCTTGCAGGGACTTGACTTGACGCAACAATTTTATTCATAAGTTTTGTATTTCGGAAGCTGGTAGCAGCTGCAGTTTGCACGGCAGGGCTGGCGTGCGTGCTCACTGAAGGCACATCCTGTTTTGTAGATGACTTCAATCGGGTGATCCTCTCCATGAAAAGGGGTCAGGAATACACAGACTACATCAACGCCTCGTTTATAGATGTAAGTACAGGGGGCCCCGGACGTGCTTTGCGAAGATGCATGTTTCCTTCGTCTGTGATCACAGGGACTCCTAATTAACTGCTTTCGACAATCAGGAAGGAATCCTGAAATCCAAAAGATTTTGTTAGCAGAATGACTTGCATAAAAAAAAAAAAGAAAAAAGAAAAGAAAAGAAGGGATAATGAGTTTTGGGAATAGAGAGCGTAGGCGCCCTGCTAAGTAATTTGTTAGTTTCCGTTGTGTTTTTAAGACACAGCGTTTTTTCTGTTCTATCTCTAATATGCTCGGGTCACCCACTGGCACTGCGTGGCTCTCTGTCCTGCACTGTCTGCAACCCGCTCCACGGGGACGATGTGCTTGTGTGTTCAGGGCATGGTCACCGGCTGTCTCCACGCAAGGTGGCGTTAGCCGAGGAGTGGGTGGGGAAGGACACAGTGGCCGAGTGTGCATCAGAGCTCCCCTTTGTGGATGAGAAAACTGTGCCGGAGGTCACTTGGGCTGCGTGGAGGAACTGGGTTTGAATTCATTTCCTCTAAGTCCACACCCAGTCCACCCCCATGAGGCTAACTGAGCCGAAACACAGAAAGATGGGAGAGCAGAGCCACGGGCGCTGTCGCAGGGGACCGGTGTGTGTGTGTGTGTGTGTGTGTGTGTGTGTGTGTGTGTGTGTGTGGCTAGCCACACCCGCTCAGAGGGGACCCCGGGTGCTGCAGGGGAGAGAGCGGGCGCCCTGACCTGTCGCACGGTGCACGTGTGCATGCGTGCCCGCTGGGGCTCGGTGCAGCTGGGGAAGCCAGAAGATGCTCTCCATCCTCGGGCCTGGGTTCTCCTAAGCTAACCCCTGCATCTGCACAGGAACCGGCATGAGAGGAGGGCAGACTCTAATCTCTGTCCCCTGTTCCAAGGGCTACCGACAAAAGGACTACTTCATCGCGACCCAGGGACCGCTGGCGCACACAGTGGAGGACTTCTGGAGGATGGTGTGGGAGTGGAAGTGCCACACGGTCGTGATGCTGACGGAGGTCCAGGAGAGAGAGCAGGTCAGTGGCGCTCGTGGCCGGCCGGGGCCCTTGGAGGGGGGTAGTGTGCACCCCCGGCAGCCCAGCCCATCGGCGGTCCCCTGTGATGGGCCCACCCGTGGTCAGCTGCGGAGGCCAGGCCACGGCCCAGGTGGGAGACAGGCAGGAAATGGAAAAAAGATCCCGTTTGCTTAGCCATGACCACCCACACTGGCTTTTGGTCTTACCCAACGTTTTACATAGCCAGCCTCGCAAGTCTGTCATTTTGTTTTTCCGCAAATGCAAATTTGATCAAAACCTGTTGAACAAAACAACATTTACTCGTTTTCTTCAAGCCGTAAGGACATAGACATTGACATGGGCACCTTACGGACGGTGTCCTGGTTGGACGGAATGAGTCAGTGTTTCCCTGTCCCCAGAGCTCCATCTGGGCCCTGTTTACTGAGTTCAGTTAACAACACAGTAAGTGCTCATGAACCCACTCTCCAAACGAAAAACCGAACTTTGGTCAGTGATGGCCACTTATCTGGGAGCTCTTTCAAGACAGAACCACTACCCTGAACCCGTGTTTTGATTTCTTTGCTTCTTTTAAAAACAGTACATTGAGTTATAATACACGTATGATTCCATCCATATTTTTAAAGGGTACAAGTCAGCAATTTTTAGCATATTTACAGAGTTGTGAAACATCATCATTATTTAATTCCAGATCATTTCCATCAGCCCTTTTTCTTCTGTTAAGTCAAATGGGTCTTGGTCGGTCTCAGAACAAAGCCCCTACCCGTGAGCAGCCAGGCCCCATTTCTTCCTCCTCCACAACCACTCCTCTACTTTCCACCTCTGTGATTTGCCTGTTCTGGACATTTCCTGTAAATGAGATCATACGACCTGTCTTTTGTGATTGAATTTTCATGTTTTCTAGTTTTAACCATGTTGTATCCAAAATAGGTTCTTTTTCTCTCGACGACTCGCCTTCTGTTGTATGGGCCGTTGTTTGGGCGTACCACACTATCTCCCATTCGTCTGTTGATGGACGTGTGGGTTGTTTCCACTCTGGAGCTATTATGAATCACGTTGGAAACGTCCATGTTGGAGTTCTTACATGGATTTGTTTTCGTTTCTCCTGGGTAGACACCTCGGGGTAGAATTGCTGGGCCATATTGTAACTCCGTCTCTCTAACTCATCTGGCTGGACGTTTGGAAGAAGGTCCACAGCAGCCACCCCATTTCCTGCTCCCACCAGAGTATACAGGGTTTCCAGTTTCTCCACCAACACTTATTACTGCTGGTCTTTTTATGATTTTAAAGATTTTTAAAAATTTATTTGAGACAGAGAGAGAACAGGGGGAGTGGCAGAGGGAGAGAGAGAAATGGGGAGCTCCCTGAGCTGGAAGCCCAATGCGGGGCTTGATCCCAGGACCCTGAGATCATGACCTGAGCTGAAGTCAACCGCTTAACCAACTGAGTCACCCAGGAGCCCCACTACTGATCTTTTTAAAGCCATCCTTGTGGATGTGGTCTTGGCTTTTCAGAAATCCTATATGTGTATGTCTTAAAGCTACTGTTCAGTTTTGCTTGCTATCGAACTTTCTATGAGGGGGTCATTACAGCGCGTATTCTTCCGGGACTTGATTTCCACACTCAGAAGGATGCTTCTGATGCGCTCCTGCATCGATGCCTGTGGCCGTGGCTCATCCCTCAGTGTGTCCTTGTGTCTCACTGCACACAGTGCACCCTGCATCCATTTATCTATCCCTTCTCCTGTCACGGGCATTTGGGTCAATTGCGTTTTTTTGTTTTTTTGTTTTTTTGTTTTTTTTTTTTACAAATGGTGCTACTAGTACATTCTCCTACAGTTCTCATGCTGCACAAGGAGTGGCCTGTACCCCAGGGACAGAATGCTACATTGGAGAGTGACAGTCTGAATTGACAGGATAGTTCCTGAAGTGGACACTGGCGATGGAGGAGAGAGATCCCTCATGACTTCCCTAGTATTGCTAGGGCTCCTCGTGTTTGCTGACTGACTAGGCGTACGTATGCATCACCGCTCCTAGGCCCTGACTGGCATCCCTCTGATTGCTCTGAAGTCAGGCATCACTTCATACATTTACGGATGGCATGTTCCCTCCGTGCAAGATGCCTGGCCAGGCCTTTCCCCCGTTTTGCTAGTGAGTCGTTTGTTCTTCTTGTGTTGACTTGTAAGAATTCTTTACATATGCTTGATTCTAATCCTTGGTCAGTTGTGTGAACTACAAATATCTTGTCACCATTGATGGCATGTCTTTTCGCTTTCTCGGCCATGTTGGTTGATGAAGAGAAGTTTTTTGTGTTCTTTTTTTTAAAAAAAAATTATTTATTTATTTGACAGACAGAAATCACAAGTAGGCAGAGAAGCAGGCAGGGGGACGGGGGAGAGGGGAAGCAGACTCCCTGCTGCGCAGAGAGCCCAATGCAGGGCTGGATCCCAGGACGCTGGGATCATGACCCGAGCTGAAGGCAGAGGCTTTAACCCACTGAGCCCCCCAGGCGCCCTCATTGTGTTCTAATCTGATGTCATAATCTTTGTGTCGTGGGTGGTTCACTCTTTTGAAGTCTTGTTTTTTAGTAAGTCCTCCTGTACCCCCAAAAGAAAAGATATTTTCGTCTAAGGCTCTCACAGTTCTGTTTTTGACTTTAAGTTTTAACCTGTCTGGGTTTCCTTTATGAAGGTTCAAAGCTACCAGATATGGTAGTGCATGTTGTGCACTGCCCAACTCCAGGAGGGCTGGACTGTTCCTATCAGTCCTGGTAGAGTGTGAGTCAGGGACCCACCCCTTTTCCTATATGGAAAACCAATTTTCATGCTCCGTTGATTGGATAATACCTTCCTGTATCCGAGTTCCGAAGACACACCTGTTTCTGGATTCCCTTGGTCAACAGGTGTTAGCCGGCATCCATACTCGCGTTTGTTAGTGATTTACTGCGTCAGATGAGATGCGCCAAACGGTCCGAGAGCCATCCTGCAGCATAACATCAAACCACTAACAGGGCGTTATTTCGTGTGAGACTTAAAATTTCATTTTATCCCCCAAGGATAAATGCTACCAGTATTGGCCGACAGAGGGCTCCGTGACTCATGGCGAAATAACAATCGAAATAAAAAGTGATACGCTTTCGGAAGCCATCAGCATACGGGACTTCCTGGTCACCTTCAATCAGGTATTGTCGCTGGTGCTGTGGGCTCTCGTAGACAGACGGCCCCGAAGTGGCCGTCAGGGGCTCCTTTCCATGGTCCCGGCACATCCCGCTCCTCCAGGCTTTTCTAACTGGTGCATTCGGATCAGTGGGCAGCGTGTGAATAGGGAGCCGTGTCATCAAGGGGCAGATCTCCTCTAACATTCGGACCTCCGTGGTCGTGTGCGTCCTTGCCGGAGCACGAGAGAGGGAGGGGGAGCACAGCGCCAACTCACAGCCACAAACACCCGCTCAGGAGAAATGGCAGCGGCGGGGACAGGAGGACGAGGGGGTGTGGATGAAGCCGCAGAGGCCTCTCCAGGCTTTTCCAGAGCGTCTGGGACAGGAGGGGTCCTGGCTTCTAGGAAAGAGACGATCCTGTTTTCTCAAGCAAAGCTGCCAGGATCGGTCCCGTGTCCGGCGGGCCCTGGCGGGGGCTCTGGGGACATCCTCTGCGTATCCCGCTCCTCATTCTGTGGCCTTCTGCTCTGGGGTGCACTCGGCCTTACAGACAGCCTGGCCGGGACCCCCAGGCCAGCCAGAGGGGGACTGTGCCGGCCGTCGGAGGACCCAGGAGGACCCCAAGCCTGGGCCCTGCTCCACGGGAGGGTAGGTCTGTTCCTGGATGGTCGGGGCTGCGTGAGCAGAAACGCCCTCCCCTGCCCGCAGCCGCTGGCCCACCAGGAGGAGCAGACCCGCGTGGTCCGCCAGTTCCACTTCCACGGCTGGCCCGAGATCGGGATTCCTGCCGAGGGCAAGGGCATGATCGACCTCATCGCGGCTGTGCAGAAGCAGCAGCAGCAGACGGGCAACCACCCCATCACCGTGCACTGCAGGTGAGCCGCCGGGGCCGGGGTGCCCCTCCTGGTGAGTGGTGGGGTGCAGACCCCACGCCCAGCCTGCGGCTCCCAGCCGCGGCGCATCGTCCCCGAGACTTTCCCTACACAGAGAGCTTTAGGTGCCTAAATGTCATCTTAACTACACACAGGAGACCTCATGGGACGAGGAGCCGGGAAATGACTCAAACACTCGTTTCCATGAGCTTCTGAAGTCCTCCCCAGACCAGCCAAACATAGCTCAGACTGACCTGTTCCCAAAATTCAGCTGCTTGTGTTCACTTTGGAAGATGTGCTGGCTCTGGCTGATGTGCTCACCCCTCCCTGTCGTCCCCCCCCAACCCCCTGGGCTCCGGGAACCGAGGCAGGGCTACAGCACGTCCTCACGGAGGGCAGATTTTTCTGGAGCCCCCTAAGATGTCCCGGCTGGGACTGCTCCCAGAGGCCTGCCGCCCACTCCAGCCCCAAGCCTTTCAACCCAGCTCCCAAGCCAGGTGCCAGGGAGGCCCGAGGAGGGACATGTGCTCAGGGGAGTGCCTGGAGACAGTGGGCGTCCCCATCAAGGATGCCCCCATCCACGCTCGCCATCCACGCTTATCAAGGGGAATCTGGCAAAATCCAAATCCAAAGACGTGCAGGCTCCAGGTCCTGGTCAGGCCAACCCCTCCCCCATGCCAGCGGGAGGCCTTGGCCGCCACTCCAGAGCTCTCCCCAGCAGGAGGTGGGGGCATTTTCATTCTCGAGGATGCTGATTTGCTTCTAAAGCTGTTCTTCTGTTTCTTCTTCCACTTGTGGCTTCCGCTGGTTTTTGTGCCTGCCATTGCCCCCTTACTCCTTGGAGCCCCCAGAGCCTGGGCTGAACGTGGAGGGTTCGGACCGCTTCACGTGGGACCAGCCTGGGTGCACTCTGGCCTGGCCAGGAGGGGGAGCACAGAACGCGGTTTTTGGTTCTTGGGGGGCTTTGTAGACCTCCTTTGGAATAAACTAAAAATCCATTCCTTTGCGTTTTGCCTCCAGAGACCCAGACAGTTTAGCACATGGAAGGCAAAGGTGAACAAGGTCCCACAGGGCAGAGGTGGGGACAGGTCATCAAAATAGGTCAGGAGCCTCAGAACCAGCCCGCGTGCGGGACTGTGGGCCTGGAGGACTCTGGAGGAAGTCAGCGGGACCTGCCCGCTTTAGGCCTGCTCTCTTGGCTCTCCGGGGGGTGCCCGGGCTCTGCTCCTGTGGGCTCATCCAGCACAGCAAGAAGACGATCATCTTAAAGGGAGTAGACCCAGATCTCCACTGCTGGGAAGCATTCCTTGTCTAACCCTTCCTGGCAGGGACCGCCCTCTGTCTGGCCTCACCCTTTGTAAACCAGCACCTCTCCGAAGGCGGCCGCTAGCACAGGGGAGTCTAGCCAGAGAGGACCTTTCCCTAGTCCCGACCCAGGAGGGTCTACAATTCTGACAAGTGGTGCTGACGCTGCTGGTCCTGGGGACCGCACCCTGAGAACCACCGGTCTCCACGAGGGAGGAGGGACATTGTCGCCCTGGCTGGAAAGCTTGTAATCGGTCTCCTCCAGCTTGAGAGACACATTTCTGCTGCAACGGGGCAAGTTTTAGGAATTTCATGTTTCCTGACTCTTGCTCCATGTAGATGAACCTTAGAAACGCCGGCTTTGGTCGCTTTCAGTGATGATGGCTTCCGCGTGGATGTGTAGGGATGGGCTGTGGGCTGTCCCTTTCTCGTCCCCGCGCGTGAGTGTGCTTGTCTGCATGAAGCACTTTCCCTCCCCAGTGCTGGAGCCGGGCGGACAGGCACCTTCATAGCGCTCAGCAACATTCTGGAACGAGTAAAAGCCGAGGGCCTTTTAGACGTGTTCCAAGCTGTGAAGAGTTTGCGGCTTCAGAGACCACATATGGTGCAAACCCTGGTAAGAGACGGAGCCATGGGGATGTTTCTGGAAGGGTCAAGAGTTGTCTTACATTGGATTTGATGTCTGTTTCATTAAAGGAGCTCGAGTGTGTGGGGAGGGAGGAGGGTGAGTTCCCATGGGAGAGAGCTCATGGTCCTCTGCACAGTGAAGCTTGATGGGCCCCCTTCCTTCCTCGTCTCTGCTGGGGACTGTCCCCTGGGCAGGACGTAGGAGGAGGAGTGAATTCATGGCTTCAGACTGTGAGACCCCTCGGACACATGCAGCGATGACGGCAGCTTGCTGTGTCTCTGTGGCTCCTCCAGCATTTTCTGGCGCCGTTCTCTTGCGTCCTGTGACAAATCCACACACTTCCTGGTTTGCAGAAGACGTGCCTCCTCGCCAAACTTGGTGATGGTTCTACCCCAATAAGTACAATTTCAGAAACTGTTAGAATCCGTCATTTTTCTCCAGTCTTCCCGTTTTTACATGCCCCGCCCCCTTGCACTCACTCTGCGTGGCTAATGGGATCCCGACTCCAGCAGGCTTAGAAGGTGGCAGGAGAGACTTCCAGAACCTTCCCATCATGGGGGAAGCTGCTAGAATCACCGAGCGAGCGGGGTTGCCCTCCCACCCTCAGGCTGGACAGAGCATGGTTCTCATCCTGAGGGCATCCCAGGGAGGCCTGGAGAGAGTTCACACTCCTCCATGGCCAGGCCGCCCTTACGCTTTCTGGGGCTCAGACCCAGGCAGGCATCAGGATAGTTAAGGCTCTTCCTGATGGTCCCAAAGCACAGACAGGTTTGAGACCCACTGTGACTGAAGGAAATGGGGTGGCTGCCGGGTCCCCACACCCCTGCCTCGCGTGCCCCTCTTGAGGCCAGACCATGACTGAAAGCAGGAAGGAGATGGTGCTGGGGGCCCCTCTGCTCTCCTTAGAGCCCTGATCCCAGTGCAGACTGTCCTTCTTGCTAGAGCTCTGGAAGATGCTAGAGGGGTCCTTCTAAAAGCCATGCCTGCCTCCTGCTAGCTAATACCGCCTAGCGGCATCACAAACATGAACGACTTTGGGTGTGGAAAAACCAGAGGCAGACCCCTCCATGGAGGGCTTCCCAGATCAAAATAATAATAATGAATGGGAACATCCTCCAAAAAAATTCCGTTTTGAATTCTAAGCCACAGTCTCTCATCTTCTTTCCTGACGGCTTTTAAGTCCACTACAGGCTTCCCCAGCCAGAGGTGGTAGCTTTAGTCCTGCGCGGCCCCCATTAAATAGGAAACCTAAGCCAGGGCCTCCCTTCGACGCTTGGACTTCAGGCTGTCATCCCAAAGGCAGGGCTGGCCCCCTCGTGCCTCTGCGGCCTTGAACAAGCTCCTTCCACTTTCTGGACTTTCGTTCTTTATCTGTGGAAAACGGGGGGATGGCACCTGCCTCTAGTTGACATGCATGTTTGCTTTGTGTGTGTGCATCGGGGGCCCACCAATGCCTGGCCCGGGCAGGCCCCTGGCGACCGTGGCAAAGAACATCTCTAGTCTGGCTCAGCATGCAAACTCTCCCTCGGTTTTGAAGGGACCTCAGCTCCCACAGATTCGTTGGGTCTGCCCACGTGTCCTATCTCCAGGAGCCCGTCCTTCTGAACGCCCCTGACTCAGCTCTGCTCTTTCCACTGCCGCTTCTCCCCGCACCCCTCCCTGGGAAGCTGCCCATGGCTGTCGTTGAGCTTGGGTCTGTACCCTCTGGTCTGGTGACACAGTTTAACAGAGTGTTTGTAACCTGACTTGGAAAGTCAGCCAATTGCTGGCCACTCGGCAGGACTCCTGAGACAGGCTTTAGGGCAGCACGCATTCCAAGGCAAAAAGTGTTTTTGTTTTTATTTTTTTCCTGGGACCTTTGTGCCTTGATGGGAAATGTCTGTGACCTGAGGTGTGGCCTGTGTCATCTCAACACATTGCCAAAATACACACCATTGATCACTGGGCACCAGTGGCTTGGACTCGAGACACAGCGTGGATGGGTCACAGTTAGCTCTTGTGTTTGCTGCTAAAACAGAAAGGGATTAATGGTGTTTCCACTTCCTCCAGGATGGGAGGCAGCTGTGATGTGAGGCTGAAGTAACTTCCAAATTTGGGAGAGAAGATGGGCGGGGCTGGGGAGCCACACTCGGTCTCTCCTGCTTCCCAGGCCCCTCCCTCGAGGGCCCAATTGCTATGCGCCACTCAGACAGCAAGTACCGGGGTCCACAAGGACCCAGACCCTGTTACCTGAGAGGCAGGTTAGCAGCCTGTTGCTCCTCAAACCTCCGGGGTCCTCTCGGCATCTGCCGGCTGACTGTCATGCACGCAGATCTCCAGAATCTCTGGCAGCTGCCCTTGGCTCCTGTTCCCATGGAATGCCCAGAACTGGCAGACGCCGCAGGTCCTGCATAGCCGCCCTCCATCCTCCCCTCCATCTGCCCACCGCCCCGCCTCGCTGCCTCACCCCCTCCAAGAGCCGGGGGGAGGACAAGAGGTGCACGGCCGTGTTCTCATGAGTTGAATGCCTCAGACAGAAAGAGGCAACATTCTCCTGAAATGTAGTAAAATTTATATAAAACAATGTCCCCTCTTTAGAGTAAGCTTGGGCTAAAAGTAGCCTAGATTTTCCTCCTTTTAACTTTCACAGACTGCTTCTTTGTGACACAGTGAAGTTCAGTATCCCGACGTCTCTCACGGTCATCCCAAAAATACCTGTTTTCCAGTTTAAATATGAAAACTGAAGACCTTTTACTCAGACTGTCCTAAAATACGACAAGTTGAAGCTAAATATCGACATGTTCCATATAAAACAATAACTTTAGGGCCGCCTGGATGGTTCAGTCTGTTAAGTGTCCGGCTTGTGATTTCGGCCCAGGTCATGATCTCAGGGTCCTGGGTTTGAGGCTCGCGATGGGCTCTGCGCTCGGCAGGGAGCCTGCTTGGGACTCTCTCTCCTTCTGCCCTTCCCCCACCCTGCTCACTCTCTAAATAAAATCTTAAAAACAACAACAACAACAAAAATCCAGCTTCATTTTGAAGTGCCCAAAAAGTAAATTTTGTAACCAGTCACACTCTTTTATGTCTTCTTTTAAAATGTTTCTCCCAATTAAATTAATGGATTTTTAAAAATGTATCATTTTAATGTATTCTTGGTTTTTTTTTTTTTCAGGAACAGTATGAATTCTGCTACAAAGTGGTACAAGATTTTATTGATATATTTTCTGATTATGCTAATTTCAAATGAAAATTCCTGCCTTAAAATATTTTTTAATTTAATGGTCAGTATATTTTATAAAAATCATGTTAATTTATTTCATAGTTGACATTAATGCCCGTCCTAATTTCTCTGTATATATTTTGTTATGCTTTGAAGGCCACTTGCTGTAAAAACTGGAACCGTGTATTAAGGTTAAGTAATGTCCCATAAAATATATTTCTGCTAATACCAGTAAATATGTTAATTTTGCATCAGATGCATCCCATTGTTGAATTTCACACGTGCAGCACTTCTAAATGTTAAAAATCTGAATATGCAACGTGTGCTTACGCAGGAGAGAAAACAAAAGCCTGCGCTGTTAAGAAAGCGGTTGAGACTCAAGAATCAGTTGAAAATTCTCTTTCCTGACAATGTTTTTACAGTCCTGGGCAGTGGCATTTGGGGGAAGGTGAAATGTTCACGAGGCTACACTGTAAATAGGGAATCCTGTGAAATCCTCTGTTGGAACTCGTGTGCTTGATTTTCACATTTTAAAGATCAAAGACTACAGCCTGATGGCAGGTATAGAACACGTTAGCGTCATTGGTGGCTGCGGGGTGACACGTGGACATGCATTTACTCAATGCCGGGTCCCTGCCGTCTTGGCCGGAAGAGGGGAGATGTAGGCATGGGTGGAAAGGTTCCCCCACGGCTCTGTGTCCAGCGAAACCAGCTCTCAAGCTGTGCTTCCACGTAGCCACTTGCCGTCCGTCTGTCTGGGCGTCTGACTCAGACGACCCCCTGAGAATCCAACCGACTGCCTTTCTCAGCCTTGCCTCCCACTCTGCCCCCGCCCCCCAGCTGGTTTGAGCTCTCCCAGAGGCTCAGCACCAGCCACTTCCCAGTCCTCAGGTTCAGATAAAGCTGGACGGGTGACTCACACAGCCGCAAGGAGCACACGCTTGGGGAGAAAACCACAAGCAATTACGCTTTCAACTTTCTGAGAAACATTTTGGTATTAAAAAAAAATCTTGTAAAAGCGAAGATTGTTTGTAAGAAAAGAAATCTTAAAATCTAGATTTATACAGTTTTTATTTAGAAGTCCCACTCCCCAATATTTAAATAAAAGAAAAAGAGAGAGAAATCCTTAAATCTAAAAGCTAAGTTATTTTTGAATGGAAATACTACTGAGACCTTTGACACTGGGCAGTAATGATCTCACTGCCGGACAGGATCGGCTTGTGGGGCAAAAAAAAAGCGGGGGGGATGAATGTAGGAAAGTTTAACTCAATGACAGTGATCTTTCTATGCCGTTTGGGAGCAGATGAGCACAATATATATAATATATATAACATATATATATATATTATATATATATTTATTTATGAATGACACCTGCTCTAACTTACTAAAAGCATTTAACATGTACATTTGGGGTACTTTTTCTTTTCTTTTCTTTTCTTTTTTTGCTTTTTAAAAGAAATATAAAGGCCTTATGTGACATTTCCACTGAGAAGTGATTGCCCCCTCCCATTTCACTGTTCATCCTGTGTCCATCCCTGGTGTGCACCCTGCAGCTCCAGGGCTGGTTACCTGCTAACAGCAGCCTTGTCGTAATCAAGCCTCCGCTGCTCCTCTGAGCCCCACCCTTGGACAAGAGGAGGGACCTGCTGGAAGGGCACGAGTACAACTTGGTGACCACTGCCACCACCGCCGCCAGCCGCATCCCTGGGTCACACACGGCACTGCTGAATGCAGCCCTCTCTCCCCTTCCCGGTGCAGTTAGAATGCATTGGGGTTAAGGAGGAAAATGGAGGGAACTTCCAAGATGCACCAGTTGGTCCCATATGTTTTCATTGTTAAAATCCCAAGTCCAAAGCCTTTCTTTGACTGAAGGAGAAGAGAGGGAACCAAGCTTTCATTTGGCACCAAACCCTAGAAACGGAGTGGGCCAGTTGTGACGAAGATGACTAATACTGTATGTGAGGGTTTAAAGTCAAAGTCGAGGGAATGGATTTGGGTCTAATTTAGGAACCCTCATTAGAATCTGACAGGCCTTTTAGTGGCCTGCCTGCCATCTCTTGGATGGAGATTAAGGTCAACCTTATCTAGGGTGCCCTCGGGAAAGTGCCCCATGTGTGTGTTCTTCTCTTTCCCTTATCCACTGCAGGCATCCTGGCACCCACTGTGGCCCTTCCAATTCTGGAGACAAAGCAGAAGCCGCGGTCCCTTGGAGGGACTTGCCTTTCTGGGGGCTTGGGAATTGCAGCCTCATGGCCTCTGCCCAGCTCCTGCCCCCAGTCCAAGGCCCCCCAGTCTCTTCGGGCACTTGGGAACTGGCCATGCTCTCTGCGTCAGCCAGGAAACTGACCTCTTCTTTCCCCTCGGTCAAAGTCGGTCCAATGTACATAACAGACAGCCCCACCCCCACAGCGCCGCCGCCGCTGTCCTTCCCTTCACGTTTTTGTATGTTGCATGCGGTTGCATTCAAATGCCAAATAGCGATTAGGAGCCTACCGTTCTGATCGGCAAGCTGTACGGTCACTGTGTGACTCACTTTACTGTTTCTCTCCACGTGCTAGACGAATGAAGAATGCACACCAGTGTTTTAAAAGGTATTTTTATGTGTTTTTAAAAACTTTTTAAAATGAGCCTGACATGTCTGTTTCAGCATTCCGAGACATGCCCATGTTATTTTTAAAATGTATGATTACTGATACTTTTGTTTAACTCAGTTGTGTTTAATTTATGTGCAATCTTTATAATGTATGTATGTATTCCCCTTTCAACGATCATATTTTCTTTTATTACATCTATAATTTGATCTTGCTCTGATTATAATGCCAGTGAATGTTGCTGAATTCTTTGTATATGCAAATTGCAAGATCTAAAACACTCTGATGCAAGGATAAATCTTTACTTTGACTTCCAGCCTGTGTCTCTTTCTTCTATGAAATCTCTTCATTGCATTCAAACGGTGCCTTACTTCCTTTCAGACAAGACATTCATTAGGAGGTAGACACTGATTTATGTAGACAATTAATTTAGGACTTTTAAAATCTAGCTCAGCTCTGGCATGAGGACAGCCCGGACACTGGGCATGGTGTCCAGGGGGTTGGCCCAAGTTCCCAGCCGCTCTTCAGAAGGCGTGGGCTGTGTGTGCAGCACGGAGTGATAACTCGCCCTTCTGGGAGCTTGTGCTCCTCTTGGAGTCCAAACAGGGATCTGTGCTCTGAGCAGTGGGTTCTCCGAGTCCCCTGAAAGAGGACAGAATGCTGGAAGTCCACGACCAGGTGGAATCTGAACGTCCTTCCAACGCTGCTGCTTTTCCTCCTAAAATCTGAAACCTTGTCCGACCTCCCTTTGCACATCCGTATGTCTCTGGTCATCCCCACATCTCTCTCTGCACCCCTCCACCTTCACCCTCCTCCCGGACCCACACACAAACATCCTCTTTCAGATATTCTAGGAATAATGTGGAATTTAAACATATGCTGCTTAGTTTTTTAAAGATTTTATTTATTTGGCAGAGAGAGAGAGAGAGAGTACAAGCAGGGGAAGCAGCAGAGGGAGAGGGAGAAGCAGGCTCCCTGCTGAGCAGGGAGCCCAATGCGGGGCTCGATCCCAAGACCTGGGGACCATGACCTGAGCTGAAGGCAGAGGGTTCACTGACTGAGCCACCCAGGTGCCCCCTTATGCTTCTTATTATTTGTTGTATTTATTTAATAAAAGTTATAAAGCTTGTTATATTTGTTAAAATGGACGATTTTATAACCTTTTCTTTCCCTCTCCCCTTCCTCCCGCCCCCAAAATCACCTGCTGTGAGATACCATTTGCTCCTATGGGCCATTTAATTACTGGGTGTTCCTCATGGGTCTGTCTGCTTGTCCCTTCTCAGCTCTAGGTACAGCAGGACCTGGCATAAAGGGACCAGAAAAAAGTGTAGGTGCAGACAGGAGAGGTTTGGGAGAGGGATGGTGGGGGCAGGAATGGTTGTCAACCAGACAACAGGGGACCAGGTGACTCAACCAACCTGACCAAGCCCACAGCCTCGGAAAAGGAAGAAAAGTTCGGCTGCCGGGGCTCCCCTCCTCCCCCGCCCCAACAAATGGAAACATTCAAACATGAGTTCACATGCTAATGACCTCGAACAGACTGGCAGGTTAGGGAGCCAGTTAGCCGGGGCTGAAGGAGCTTAACACCTGGCTGGGACTGAATGGTGTAGATTAGGGACGTGCCTTCTACCAGGCTACGTGGCATTTCCGAGCACTGAAGGACTCAAGGATGAGATACATCCAAAACTTAGAGAACTCCTATGTGAAAACTTTGCATCTTAGAAGTGACAAAACCTGCCCCCTCTGGGCAGTTGTGTGAATCGCTTTTGCTCAGCGTTCTGCCTTAACATCTGGCTGTGTCTGCATATATGCAGCTTCCTCATCCCCCTTTAAAGGGCTACTTGGAATTCTCCGAACCTCACAAACTCTGATGGTCATCCCTCCATGAAGGACACTGGCTTGTATGCTGCAGGGTCGTGATGGAAACACTTGCACACACGTGCGTTTGCTCTAGGGTACAAAGTACTTCTCGTGGAGAGCTTCCTAGGGGTGAAATCTCTGGGTTATATGCATTTTAATATGTATCATCTTAAACATAAATAGTAACCGCCAGATCGCCAGAAGATGTCCCAACGCCTTCACCGCAGCTGGGGCCTGTTTCCCTTTGCATCACTAACCCTGGGTATGAGCAAACCTCTTAGTTTTTGCAAAACTGCAAGGCAGAAAAGTCATACTTCATTTCCACTTGCATTTCCCTAACTTCCAGTGGTTGGAGCATCTTTTCACACTTTTATTACTTGTAGTTTATCTGTGAATCACCAATTCATGTTTTATACGTTTTCCAAATTTTTTTATCCATTTCCAAAAAGTCACTTGACTTTTTCTCATTGATTTATTGTGATTCTTTTTATCACATAAACACCAACACTTTGTTATTCAAATCAGAAATATTTCCCTTCAATACATTGTAGAAGATTATCGTTGACGGCTGCTTAAACCCCTCACCCAGGAAGCTCTGGGACTCACCAGCTGACGGACTGGGCTGGTGAGCACGGCCTGATTCTGCCCAACAGCAGGGCCCTCTGTGGGGCCCAGTAAGCATACCAGATAGAACTCTCATTCCCATGAAATCATCATGGAGACACGAGGAGGGCTTTGTGCGAACAAGTCATGGGCATTCCTTTCCTTTGTAAAGACCAACAGTCATGAGCTCCCGATTTACAGATACCAGATGCTCACGGCCCAGGGCCGGAGGCACCAAGACAGGGAGGATCGTGACCAGCCCTCAGGGGCCTGGGCAGTCTACACAGCCCTGGACTCGGGGGCGGGGGGGTCTGGAACTGTGGCTGGACTATGCTGTCGGGGAAGATGATTCCAGCAGCTCATCGAGGGGAAGCGCCTAGAAGGCCCAGCAAACGGTAGTATCCCCGCCACGTATCTTGACTTGTTTTCAGTAAAGAGGCAGCCTTTGCTTTATGAAGTTGACATCTGTGATGTCCTCCGTGACAACCCGGAAGCCACGACCCGGTCGGTGAGTGCCGGGCAATGGAGTCCCAGGCTCCCTGTCCTGACTTGTACTGGGATTGAGGGAGGCCCTCCCTTCTGTTCTTCCTCAGCCCCTCCAGGTAGGGATCGTTCCAGACACACGCAGACACCTGCCACCTTCCTCGACCTCCCGGCAGACCACTCTTCCCCGGGACCCAAGCGCTCCCCGCTGCTCCCACCCCTAGGAAGCCCCACATTCTCTCAGGATCTAGATCGGGCTCAGAGGCCAGAGAAAAGACTGAGGCTGACAGCCGCGGCTCAAATCCTCGTCCCTCGACCCACCCCTTCTGCCCAGACTGACCCCATGTGACCAGGGGCCCGCGGGTCCCCGTCTCTACCTGCGAGGGCCACTCCCCCCAGGCTAATGGGAGGGCTCACTGACCAGGAGAAAAAGTCGCAGTCCCACCACGGTAGACTCGTGGAGACGCGGACACGCTGGCAAAGCAGACCCTCTGACTCAGCCCCGGTCTGCTGCTCCCTGCTCTTGGCTCGTGTTTTTGCCTCCATTTCCCCTTACCCTTCCTTTAATAAAAAGCCTAAGTCTGAAAACAATGAATACTGTTATGCTGAAAAAAAAAAAAAAAAGAAAATGTAAAAAAAAAAAAGAAGAAAAGCCTAAGTCTGTGGGTTTTAAAATTTCATGTCACACACACCTGGCTGGGCACGTCGTGTGGCGGGGCCAGTGGAACACGGGGCTGGTGCACCCTTCACAGAAGGACGAAGCTTCGCCCAGCAGAGGCGGCCGGCTCCTGTTTCCAGAGCCGCGCACCACAGTTAGCGCGGGCGGCCTCCGGGGCAAGGCATGGGGAGCCAAGCCAGCCCGGGAACAGGCGACCCAGCTCCTCGAGAAGTCCCACCAGCGCCAAGCTCAGGACTGGAGGGAACCTTCTGTGAAACGGGGGTGGGGTGGTTGTGGGGTGGGGAGAGTCCTAGGCAGAGACAAGTGCAGTGCGTGCATGTGTGTGTGTGTGTGTGTGTGTGAGTAGTTTGTATGTAGGAGTGTTTGTACGAGAGTGTGGATGGGAGTGCGTGTTACTAGGAATGTAGCGTGAATAGGAGGAGGCATGTAGGACTGTGTGTGTGGGAGTTACGTGCTCATATGAGCGTATACGTGTGTGTATGGAGAGGGGGTCTGGCCTAAAGGAAGTCGGCAGCTGGCACAGAGTCAGAGCACAGAAAGTCAGAGGCTCCGGGCGGATTGCGCAGAACTGTGGAGGCAAAAATGTAAGAATTAGCAGTCAGAATGGCTAAAATGAACAAGTCAGGAAATGACAGATGCTGGCGAGGATGCGGAGAAAGGGGAACCCTCCTACACTGTTGGTGGGAATGCAAGCTGGTGCAGCCACTCTGGAAAGCAGCATGGAGGTTCCTCAAAAAGTTGAAAATTGAACTACCCTATGATTCAGCAATTGCACTACTGGGTATTTACCCTAAAGATACAAACGTAGTGATCCGAAGGGGCACGTGCACCCGAATGTTTATAGGATCAATGTCCACAATAACCAAACTATGGAAAGAACCTAGATGTCCATCAACAGATGAATGGATAAAGAAGAGGTGGTATATATACACAATGGAATACTATGCAGCCATCAAAAGAAATGAAATCTTGCCATTTACGATGACGTGGATGGAACAAGAGGGTATTATGCTTAGTGAAATAAGTCAATCGGAGAAAGACAACTATCATATGATCTCCCTAGTATGAGGAAGTAGAAATGCAACATGGGGGGTTTGGGGGGTAGGAAAAGAATAAATGAAACAAGATGGGATCGGGAGGGAGACAAACCATAAGAGACTCTTAATCTCACAAAACAAACTGAGGGTTGCTGGGGGGAGGAGGGCCGGGAGAAGGGGGTGGGGATATGGACATTGGGGAGGGTACATGCTGTGGTGAGTGTTGTGAAGTGTGTAAACCTGGCGATTCACAGACCTGTACCCCTGGGGATAAAGATACATTATATGTTTATAAAAAAAAAATTAAATGTAAAAAAAAAAAAAGTATACCTACAAAAAAAAAATAGTAAGAATAGGGGCTCCTGGGTGGCTCAGTGGGTTAAAGCCTCTGCCTTCAGCTCAGGTCGTGATCTCCAGGTCTTGGGATGGGGCCTGGCATTGGGCTCTCTGCTCCGCGGGGAGCCTGCTTGCTCCTCTCTCTCTACCTGCCTCGCTGCCTGCTTGTGATCTCTGTCTGGCAAATAAATAAATAAAATCTTAAAAAAAAAAAAAAAAAGAATAGTTTCTGTTCCCCGAGAACTTTCTATCAGACGGGATGTTGTTCACTTGGAATCTCGGGCCTGGAGACGTTACCAACCACCTGGCAAGTAGGTACTTCTGTCTCCCACCCTGTTCTCAGGCAGGAAGTTGGCCTGGTTGGTTACCAGCTGTCTGATGCTGTCCCCCAAAAGGCCAAGTGAAACGTGTGTCCTCGGACGGGTGTTGTCAAACACTGGCTCCAAAGAGCTTTCCTAAGCCAGCATCTATAGGCCTCAAAGATGAGAGCCGCCCTGTGCTCTCGAAACTGCACCGTCACAAGGCGAGGGGATGAGCCGGTGTACCGCAGTGAGGTTTTGGTTAGAACTGAACCCTAAAGGGTTGTTTAATTAACCAGTACGTCCCATTCCCCAGGCATGTGGCTAATTGAAAATTTCCTCTATGCAAGGTTCATAATTACTACGGAATCTGGAGTACTGGCAGAACAGCTTAATCATAGAAAAATCCCATTATTTTACGTTTTCTTGTATTTTGCTGCCACAAGGACACACTCGTGACTCGCACCTTCAAATAAAGAGCTTCTCCTCAGGGCTGCGCTTCCTCAACTCCCCTGCCCCTTCTGCTGCTGCCCAAGATCCCCCACCCGCCCCGCAGAGCCTGCCGGAGCGCCCTCCCCCCAGCTCCCCCGCCCCGTGTGACCCCCAACGCTCTTCGGAATGTGATCATGGCAGCCGGGTGGGCGAGGGCAACATCCGCGGACCCAGAGAAGCGCCTAGACTGAGGCATTCATTCAGCAGACATTTATTACGAGCACCTGGCTCCGCGCCAGACACAATGGTGTCAGAGTGGACAAACGGGGACGCTGTAGGGGACAGCTCCCCTCCCTGGTCTTCCAACCCCACTTCGACCTGGTTGGACAGGGCACCGGAGGGACGGTGTGCTGTCTTCTCATCCAGGGAACACGAGAGGAACAGGACAGTGGAACGTGGAGGTGGAGATGCCCGGCACGTGGCTGTCTGGGTCTGAGACCAAAGGGGCCGTGGCTCGCGTGGACGGCACGGGAATCACGGTCCTTCTTTTGGAAGAGGGTTTTGGTTATTTCCTGAACAAGGGGACGTGCTGGGAAGGAAGGCGGCCAGCAGGGGCAGTCAGAGAAAGCGCTGGTGGGCACAGATTCGGGAGAGTTCGGAAAACATAAGAGGAAAATGCGAAAAGCTAGGAGAGCTATGACCATTCAGAGCTGAGGGGCACCCTGGCCCACGGCCCCGGGACTCAGCGCCGGGTGCCTTCTCAGATGTGAGCAGTCCCAGGTCAGAGAGACATGCTTGAAGCGGAAAATGTAAGACACCAGTGACCCCTACACCCTGCAGCTGGGGCCACCAGCCTCCTCCAGGCCCCACGCGTGTTCCCTTCCATGGCGAGAACCCTGAGAATGGGACTGTCCCATACAGGGGACCAACAGCCCTTGTGAGTGGACCCAGTGTGTCCCCCCCGCCCCGACCCGGTAAAAAAATAGCCGAGGAGTTTGTTCATCGGCCCGTTCATTTGCGTTTCCTGAGTTCCTGCCCAGGGCTGGGGACTAGGGACAGAAGCCCCTGCTTTCACATTCTGATGCGGGACACGGGCCAACAGAAAGCATTTACAGAGCAGCGCGGGCAAGTGCTGGCGTGTGGGGCTGACAAGGACGGACGGGGGTGACAAACGTCACAGCTTCATTTCACTGCATTATTCTGGGTCCCAATCCCCGCCCCCACCCGTCCCCAAGCCAAGTTTGATATTTTTGTCACTTTATGAGACCAGCAGTCCTCTTCGTGACCTCCATGTGGCCTTTATGAATAGACCACTCGGAGAGAGAAAATTCTTTCCTTAAACACCCGAATAGCATTATTTACAAAATTCCCTTTCATATTTACCCAAATACCATACTAGAATATATCACTAGACTGCACTTATTAGTTTTTTTTTCCCTTTTCAACTTCTCAGCTAAATATCTTCGTTGTCCTGACGACTTCTGGTTCTTAATTTCTTGATACACACATTGTCATCATCCTGTTTGGGAAGAAAATAGAGCTCTTAAGTAATTGAAAATAACAATTTTTTGTGACCAACTCTGTGAAAACCCAAATCCTTAATAGGTGTGATGCAGGCTTTTAGTTTGAGGAAATTAATTTTAAGGTTGGAAATGAGTTTTGAGATGTGTCATGTGAAAGGCACTTTGGTTTTTTAAAATGTTGTTACTATTTGTTTTTTTAAAAATTTAAATAGGAAGCTTTGTAACTTACTTTTAAGTTAATACATAATAAAAAAAGAAAGAAAACTTCTACATAAATATACACAATTTTTTCACTAATTAAAAAATACCACTCAAAAAAGTGAATTCAAATGTATAAACAGGACAGGACGTTTTGGGTCTTCTCAAATAACCCGCGTGTGAAGTGCACAATCTGTCCATACTCGGTGGGGGTGGCTCCCTGCTGGGCCTGTCCCAGGAACCGGAGGAGGCTCATCCCTCTGGACAGTCAGATAACGCAGGAGACCATCTGCTTTCTCAGAACCAGGGCGGCGTCTGCTTCTGTCCCTCCCCCAACCCAATAGCCCACCAGAGGCAGAGCCCACCAGTGACCGCACCAAGTGATCTTGAACACCTGCCCTGTACCTGCTCCCTCACAGCTTAAAAGGGGGCAGGGGGGCCCAAAGACACCCCGGACAGTGCCATCACCCCCATTCCGGCACACAGGAAACAGATCCCTTCTGCCTTCGCAGCCGACACCAAACCAGATGTTGGAACAGAGCCGTGGCCCACAGCACTGGCCTCTAGGCTCGAAATGCATGCTGAGAAATTTATAGCACTAGGGAGCTGCCGACCCCCCTTCTTTTAAACTAAGAAAATTGAGTATTCCCCAGAAGAACACCGACTGAATTTAATCTTGCTGTGGATTTATTCCAGCGGCAGACGGCTTACGTGCCGCTCAAGGTGACAGGACATGAGCAGGCCTGGCGTACCACTTGCCGTGTAAACACCTAGCTTCCTTCCCTTCTAGCTTTTTCCACAGGAACTCCTGAGGAAACCGGACACGACCATCTTTCTGCTTTAGGAAGTTTTGCTGAACTAACGGGGAGACTGAAGACCGCTATCTAGAATTTTCTTACTCAGTATGTTGTATGCAGCCAGAAAGTACTGACTACCTACATTCCTTGCTCTTCCTGGATGGTGACTTCACAAGGTCAAGTTTCTACCAGAAGTAGAATTCCCAAGACAGAGACAGCTGAATACAGCGCCGACAAAATACACGGTTTAGACTTATGTTTCCTACAGTAGTATAACTAGGAGCCGACAATGTGTTATATTTCCTTGCTTTTGCACATGGGGCAAAAATTAGATTGTGACACTCGTTGCTCATAAAAAAAATAAAAAGGAAAACAGTAAATTACTTGCCTTTTTTATATTTTCAGCGCATCTCTTGGCATTCCGAGTTACCCTCTGCTGGGGTTCACTCTCCAAAGCCTTTCCTCCGGGAGGGACTGTGATTTTTCTAGATCTCAAACGCATGGGGTCTGAAGGTTGCCTTACTTCTTCCTCCTGCTTCTTCTCCCGGACACCCACTCTTTTCTCCCTTTGCTTCTCCTCGGCTACGTCCGGCGAGGGCATCTTAGTGGGTCTCGCAGACCTCAGACATATTCTGCTTTCCCGGGCTTTGCTCCCAGATGCCGCATGCTTGGCCCCGTCTTCTGGGCTTTGTAATGCTGTCTCTTGGGACGTCTTCAAGGGCTTCTTGTCACTTCTTTTTGTTTTCGGCTTTTCTGTCGCCGTTACAACAGGCTCGGGTCTTGTCTCTTCTGCCTCGGTTTTATTTGGACGCCTAGAGCGCAGGGACCTTCCCTAAAAACGACACGACATCCGCAAAGTGCCACTCGTGAGTAATGCAATTCTCACAATTCAGTATGGAGAGAGACACTCAAAGTGAGCTAAGAATCCGCCTGAAACGTTAACGGTTGTCTTAGAAGACGCCAGGAAGCACTTCGTCCCAACAAGAAATCCTCTCCACTGGTAAACTGAGTAAGGAAGTCGGCCTCAGTTTCTATCCCTGTATCTGAGTGTCGTGTATGTCAAATTGGATTAAAACAAGCACTGACAGCGCATTCTAGAAAAGTGCCCCCTTTTCGAGCTGTAAACGATTTCCCAGTCCTTTACCAACCGTTGCTGGAGCAGGACGGGGGAATCGCAATTTCTGGAACCGAGTTTCCGAGCTTTGCTCCATGCGGGAGTGTCCCCCAACCCACCTCACGAACCCGACAGGTAGGCTGTTCTCAGGGCGCAAATCCCCACGCAGGATCGTCTACCCGAGTAAAGCCTGGGGCAGACACCACCCCGACCCAGGGCTCCTGCCTGGGGGCTCTGGAGCGACAACACGGGACTGAGCTGCCACCTTCTCTCAGCACCTTTCCCACCTCTGCAGAGAAGCACAACTCAGCCAGGTTCTGAGAAACTTGTCGAAATTCGCTGTGACAATTTTGACCAGTTTTCCTCCCCAATTCGTCTATTCTCTCTGTATGTCCCCAAAAGATCCTTTACCGCGGTCTGCAGATGTGGAATGCAGACCCCTTTGGGAAAAGCTACTCATCTACACCTTCAAGCCGTGAACAGAGGACACCCGACATTAGCCACAAGAGCCCCCGCCCAAGATGACACGTGCCCCAGCATCACCTGATGGCTCGGGGTCTTGCCCGCCGCTTCTCCTGCCCTTGGCGTAGCCTCCCTGCTGCTCCTTGGAGGGTCTCCCGGGAGTCGCATCCGCTCTGCCACGACCCTCAGCCTCTTCTTCACTGTCAGGGGCTCAGGTGGGTCACAGCCCTCGCGGGGAGCTGCCCTCCTCCTCTTCTGGGGCGGCTTCTCCTCCGTCGCGTCCTGGGCAGCGGTCCCAGAGCGCAGCCTCTTTGTTCCCATCGAACCTTCCTTGGTTCCTCCTTCCCTCTCGGAGGGCGGGGAAGCGCCGCCTTCCCTCCCAGACCCGACGGGCTCTCTCCGGTGCCCCGGGTCTTCCTCCGCTGTTGCCCGACGGAACCTGAGGCTTCTCTGCCGAACGCTCACAGCTTTCCTCCCGCCTGGAGGGTGCACGGGAGCGGCCCCACCGCCACCTGCGTCCTCTCCCGCTTCCTCGCTGGGATCCGGCCCGGGGGATGGCTCCGGGGAACTGGCCAGGTCTTCCAGGGGCGGGGCCTTTTCCTTAGGCGCTCTTAGCCGACTTTTCCGGAGCATTCCGTTCTCTGCAGGGCTCAGGGTCTGCTTTGCGGTGTCATTCACGCGTGTGACGTCTCCGTCGCTACCGGGGGGTTCTTGGCCGGAGACGGCACTTGGCCCCCGCCGTCGGGTGGACATCCGCAGAGCTGACGGCTCTCGCCCCACGTCTGCCTGCTGGGGAGGGGTCTTGACTTGCCTCCTTCTACTTGTTGGTCTGTGGACTGGATCTGCTAGTGGCGATTTGCCGGGGACTGTGGTGGTTTTGTCGTCAGTCACTGGGTCCTGGGTGTGCTCTGGGGTTTGGGAGTGCTCCCCGAGGCCGGCCAGGTCTAAGGACGGGGCATCTCTCTTGGATGTTCTTGACCCCCTCTTGCTTCCGGCTCCATTCTCTGCAGAACGCACTTCCCGCTTCACAGTCTTACCCAACAGTTCGATGTCTTCCGCGGGGCCTCCTGCTTCTCTGCCCGAGTGTGCCTTTGCCCCCCGCGTTCGGGTGGACTTCCTGGGAGCTGACGGCTCTTGCTTTATGTCCACTTTCTGGGGAGAGGTCTTGAGTCGCCTCCTTCTACTCATTGGCTTGTGGACTGGGTCTGCTAGTGGTGACTTGCAGGGGACTGTGGTTTTGTCATCAGTCACTGGGTGCTGGGGGCGCTCTGGGCTTTGGAAGAGCTCCCTGAGGCCAGCCAGGTCTTCTAAGGACGGGGAATTTCTCTTGGGTGTTCTTGACCGCCTCTTGCTTCCAGTGACATTTTCGGCAGGGTTCATCTTCTGCTTTGGGGTTTCCTTGAAGAAGCGAATGACTTCTTCACCGCCTCCCGGCTCTCCGTGTGTGAGTGTGGCTTCTGCTGGCGTTTGGATGGGCTCCCCGAGAGGTGCGAGCTCTCTCTCGGAGTCCGCCGTCCCCTGAGGCATCTTCCGACACGTCTTCCTCTGGGGTGCTGTGTTGACTGTTTCTGCCAGAGGAGATCTGCCCGGCGTTACTGTGCTTTTGACAAGAGCTGTTGGTTCCCGGGTGTGCTCTGGGGTTTGGAAGAGCTCTTTAAAACCGACCAGGTCTTCTAGGAATTGGGCCTTTTCCTTACCCGTTCTTATCCCCTTCTTGCTTCTGCTTACATTTTCTACGCGGTCTAGCTTCTTCCTTGGAGTTTCCTTAGACAACCTGATGTCTTCATCACCACCTCCTGGTTCTCTGTGTGAGGGCACACTTTCCCCTAGAGTTCGGGTGGACTTCCTGAGAGCTGAGGGCTCTTCCTCTAGATCTACTTTCTGGGGAAGGGTCCTGAGCCGCCTCCTTTTGCTCATTGGTGTGCTGACTGGATCTGCTAATGGAGATTTGCTGGGAACTGTGGTGGTTTTGTCATCAGCCATTAGTTTTTCTGTGTGGTTTGGAGTTTGGAAGAGCTCTCTGAGGCCGGCCAGGTCTTCTAAGGACGGGACATCTCTCTTGGAGGTTCGTGACCGCCTCTTGCTTCCAGTGACATTTTCTGCAGAGTGCACTTCCTGCTTCGGGGTTCTGTTAAACAATTTGATGTCTTCATCACCATCTTCTGGTTCTCCGGGCACAGGGATGTTTTCCCCTGGCGTTTGCATGGACTTCCTGAGAGCTGAGGGCTCTTCCTCTAGGTCCACTTTCTGGGGAGGGGTTTTGAGCTGCCTCCTACTTGTTGGCTTGTGGACTGGATCGGCTAGTGGAGATTTGCAGGGGACTTCGGTGGTTTTGTCGTCAGTCACTGGGTCCTGGGTGTGCTCTGGAGTTTGGAAGAGCTCCCTGAGGCCAGCCAGGTCTTCTAMGGACGGGGCATTTCTCTTGGGTGTTCGTGACCGCCTCTTGCTTCCAGTGACATTTTCTGCAGAGTGTACTTCCTGCTTCGGGGTTCTGTTAAACAATTTGATGTCTTCATCACCACCTCCTGGTTCTCCGTGTGAAGGAATGCTTTCCCCTGGCGCTCGGGTGGGCGTCCTGAGAGCTGAGGGCTCCTTTTCTAGGTCCACTTTCTGGGGAGAGGTCTTGAACTGACGCCTCCTACTTGTTGGTGTGCTGACTGGTTCTGGTAGTGGAGATTTGCCGGGGACTGTGGTGGTTTTGTCATCAGCCATTGGTTTATCTGTGTGGTTTGGAGTTTGGAAGAGCTCCCTGAGACCAGCCAGGTCTTCTAACGACGGGGCATTTCTCTTGGATGTTCTTGACCGCCTCTTGCTGCCAGTTACATTTTCTGCAGGGGTCATCTTCTGCTTTGGGGTTTCCTTGAACAATTTGATGTCTTCATCACCACTTCCTGGTTCTCCGTGTGAGTGTGTGCTTTCCCCAGGTGTTTGGGTGGGCTTCCTGAGATCTTTCTCTAGGTCTCCTTTCAGGGGAGGGGTCTTGAGCTGCCTCCTTTTACTTGTTGGTGTGTTGACTGGATCTGCTAGTGGAGATTTGCAGGGGGCTTTGGTGGTTTTGTCATTAGTCATTGGTTTATCTGTGTGGTTTGGTGTTTGGAAGAACTCTCTGAGGCCAGTCAGGTCTTCTAAGGACTGGACCATTTTCTTGGGTGTTCTTGACCGCCTCTTGCTCCCAGTTACATTTTCTGAGGAGTGCACTTTCTGCTTCGGACTTCTCTTAAACAATCTTACGTCTTCATCACCATCTCCTGGTTCTTTGTATAAGGGCACACTTTCCCCTGACATTTGGGTGGACTTCCTGAGAGCTGAGGGCTCTTCCTCTATGTCCTCTTTCTGGGGAGGGGTCTTGAGCTGCCTTCTTCTACTTGTTGGTATGTTGACTCGATCTGCTAGTGGCAATTTGCAGGGGGGTGTGGTGGTTCTGTCATCAGTCACTGGGTCCTGGGTGTGCTCTGGGGTTTGGAAGAGCTCTTTGAGGCCCGCCAGTTCTTCTAAGGAATGGACCATTTTCTTGGGTGTTCTTGACCGCCTCTTGCTTCCAGTGACATTTTCTGCAGGGGTCATTTTCTGCTTCAGAGTTTCCTTGAACAAGCAGATGTCTTCATCAGCACCTCCTGGTTCTCTGTGTGAGGGCATGGCTTTCTTTGGTGTTCGGGTGGGCTTCCTGAGAGCTGAGGGCTCCTTCTCTACGTCCACTTTCTTGGGAGGGGTCTCGAGCTGCCTCTTTCTAGTTGTTGGTGTGTTGACTGGATCTGCTAGTGGAGATTTGCAAAGGACTTTGGTGGTTTTGCTGTCAGTCCTTGGTCTTTCTGTGTGGTTTGGAGTTTGGAAGAGCTCCCTGAGACCAGCCAGGTCTTCTAAGGACGGGGCATCTCTCTTGGAGGTTTGTGACCGCCTCTTGCTTCCAGTGACATTTYCTGCAGAGTGCACTTCCTGCTTCGGGGTTCTGTTAAGCAATTTGATGTCTTCATCACCACCTCCTGGTTCTCCGTGTGAAGGAATGCTTTCCCCTGGCGCTCGGGTGGGCGTCCTGAGAGCTGAGGACTCTTCCTCTAGGTCCACTTTCTGGAGAGGGGTCTTGAGCTGCCTCTTTCTGCTTGTTGGCGTGTTGACCGGATCTGCTAGTGGAGATTTGCAAGGGACTTTGGTGGTTTTGCTGTCAGTCCTTGGTCTTTCTGTGTGGTTTGGAGTTTGGAAGAGCTCCCTGAGGTCAGCCAGGTCTTCTATGGACGGGGCATTTCTCTTGGGAGTTCTTGACCGTCTCTTGCTTCCAGTGACATTATCTGCAGAGTGCACTTTCTGCTTTGGAGTTCTGTTAAACAATTTGATGTCTTCATCACCATCTTCTGGTTCTCCGGGCACAGGGATGTTTTCCCCTGGCATTTGCATGGACTTCCTGAGAGCTGAGGGCTCTTCCTCTAGGTCCACTTTATGGGGAGGGGTCTTCAGCTCTATGTTCATCCTGGCTTGCACGCCAACTAGTTCTAGTTTTGAAGATTTCTTGCACTTTTCTGTGGTTTTGTTTCCCAAGTCCATTGGTTCCTGGGCGTGAGTGGGGGTTTGGGGGAGATTTTGGATGCCCCCCAGGTCTTCCTTGGGTTCTGTGTCCTGCTGTCTCTTGAGGGTGGTCAGGTTGGCTATTGGATCCCATCTTTGCTCTGAATATCTTCTCGATCTCCTCATAGCCACCATCTTTTCAGAACTACCTTCTGATTTGAAAGCCTTCTCACATGTGTCAAAACAGCTCTCTTGTTCCTCAGTCGCTCCCTCTGGTTTCTGTCCTCGCTGTGGAGTTTTCCTCAGACGTCGCCCTGACATGTTCTCAGCAGTGTCTGTGTTTGCTTCTTCGTTGCTATGCCCTGAACCTGGCATCTGTGTGTTTCCGAGCTCCGTGGACCTTCGAAACCTGTTTGCACTTGATGCCACCTTCAGAGGCTCTGCTTCCGACCCTGGAGTCTTCTCGATGTTTGCGTTTACTCTAATAGCCGGTCTTCTGAGGGCAGGGCTGGCAGGACTGTGATCGGATGGCTCTTGCGATTTACTCTGAGTCATGCAGAATACATTTTCTCCTATAGGAAACAAAAACACACATGAGATATAGATTCTCTTCCCCACATTGTGCCGATCTGGTATTTTATGTTTATCATAACAATGTTATCTGGTGACCAACAGTGGGGTCGTACTGAGGTGATAATTCTACAGGGATCAGATATAAGGAAAAAAATCCTTAAGAAGGGTCTCCCATAGGGCACTGCACCGCATCTTGGGCACCGGAACACGGTCATTCTTTTCCTCAAACATGAGAAGCAAACAGCTATGTCACCTGACGCCATAACGTGGCTTCCGTTCAGTGGGCTTGGGGTCCACACTGCACAGGAAACACCTGCTTCTCAGTGGGGGAGGTACCGTTAAGGTGAGCTATTCCCTCTCCCACAGGCGGTGGGTGCCCAGTATACCCGGTATTCAGTTGAGAGTGCGAGATGGGCTCATTTCTCCCACCAGGGGCTCATAGCACCACACGGGCCACCGAGAGCAGCAGCAGTGATAATCACACAGTGAGCACATTCTCTTTCCCTTTCGTTATTTACGCTTATTTTGAGTTTGAGAAATTGACGTAACTGGGATGAGACATCATTCTACTTCTGTGCTGCTCAACCTCTTTAAATTAAAAGAAGGCAGAAGCTGGGGTGCCTGGGGGCTCAGTCAAGCGTCTGCCTTCAGCTCAGATTATGATCCCAGGGTCCTGGGATGAAGCCCTGCATCGGGCTCCCTGCTCTGCAGGAAGCCTGCTTCTTCCTCTCCCATTCCCCTGGCTTGTGTTCCCTCTCTTGCTGTCTCTCCCTCTGTCACATAAATGAATAAGTAAAAATGTTAAAAAAAAAAAAAGGCAGAGGTATACACAGGTCATTTATAATTGTTATACTACTGTATTAAAATTATTAATATAATTATCAATTATAATTATTAAAAATTATTAAAATTATTCCTTTTTATGCCACTCACTAAATACCAACATTAGTTCAATTGCTAATAGGAATTTCCCCTGAACATGACAGAACTGAGAAGCTACAAATGGTATTTTTTTGGGAGTATCTATTGTAGAGAAGTAATACAGCATCTGTTGTAAACCAAAAGAAAAAAAAAATCTTTAAAAATCTTTAATTCCTACTGAAAACATCAAAGTGCAAGGGAAAAAAAAAACAAAAAAACAAAAAGCAGTAAACCAACCAAAATTTACTGAAGTGCACAGCGGAGGTTTTTCTCCCGAATTGGGTACTTCAAACTCCTTTCCGATGAAGTCCTCTGAATTTGAAAAAGCCTTGGGACATAGGCTCATTGTTTGTGGCTTCTCTTTGGCTGGAGTCTTGAACATTTCAGTTAACCCTGTGATGTGAGAATATTGGAAAAGCGATTAGCGTATCGTTCCCCGTGCCATCAGCCACACCGGCCCTCAGACCTACCAGAGGAAGTGGCAGAGCGCGTATAGGGAATCCCTCCCCAGAATTCTCGGGAGACAGGGTCATGCATTAATAATGAACTCATTTCGTTGAGGAAGAGCGATGAGATGTTGGAATCGTATCTCTTCTTTGTCTTTCCTCTTGGTGAGAAAATCTAATGAAGGCAGTCGACAGCTCAGTCTTCAACGGTTGCCCTGATCCTGAGCACTGGCTCGAGACAGAGCCCGGATCCCTGTGCCTCCTGTCCCAACATCTGGAAAACTAGCGTCCTCATGCTGCCTTGAAAAATCCTAACTTACGTAGACCTGGGTTTTACGTACAAATAAAACGTCCCCAACTTTTAAAAAATGACGTCCATGGGGCTGTCCACGAATAGTATTGTCAAGTGACAGTATGTTTTCATTTTACACCAAAACGTAGCATTGACATAATAGAAGAAAAGAACCATACAGTTCTTCGGATGGAAGATTTATCTTTCTGAAACACTCGAATTTCCTCTTTTCTCACTCCGCCATCAATGGATTGAAATGCTCTGTCTGGTATGTTTGCAAATTGTGTTTGGGGAGCCTGTTCTGAGGGCCCTCAGATCAGACAGTTCACTTAAAAATCTCAGCCCTCTGCCCCAATTCTGGCCTTCCATAAAATACCCCAGAGCCAGGCTAGTGCACAGATTGGTGTTTTGTCATGAAAGTCACTCACACCGAGGGGTGGAAATTGTTTGACTTTCTAAGAAGGTGTGTGGAAGGAAGGTTGAGGAAATCCACTGTCCTGGGTACTGAGTATATAAATTTCTATTAATTAGATCTTAAAAATATTTTTGAGAATTGATCTTCAAGGCTCCATGACACAGATTTTAGTTACACTCATACGTAATTTATAAGGACACACGTATGTGCATATGTCTGCATATCGGGGGCATATACTCGAAACTTTTTCTCATTGAGCATGTTATCAAAACCGGCAACTGTTCTGCATTATTGTGGTTTGTTTTTTTAAAAGCTAAATGCATTGATCCAACTATGACCTCAATCACAGCGTCCCTTGTTTGGGTTCTACAGAGGAGTACAATGATTCCATCTTAAAATATGCCCGGAAAGAAAAACAAGAACCTTGTAATGGGCGGTGGAGTCGAATGTCACTTCCCTCCAAAAATGTGCAAGGCAGAAACCAGTGGTCAAACTGTGTGGCATGAAATCCCAACCCCTGGGCTCTTGCCTTTGTTCTAGCCTAGGACAACCACAAGGAGGTCCCATCCCACTTCCGCTTCTTAAGGGAAACCTTTTCACAGGACTTTGTTTCAAGACACAGTTAAGCTTCATGCAAGGGAAGGAAAGTATGAAGCAGAGAAAAGTGGCCCAAACCAGTGGCTCTAACTTTGGGGTGATCGGTTAGTAGAGACACAGGGAAAGGGCAATTTTAAGGGCAAGCCTGCTCTCTTCAGCACAAAGCAGCTTCCGGTTCTCCACACTCATGCTGCAACCCAAGGCAACAGTGTGCGTTTCCCATGCCCACCTGCTCCCCGCAGGACTCATGAGCCTTTTTATTATTGGGGACCCCTTCTTGTTCTCCAAATCCAGCCTTCTCTTGTGCCCATCACCACCCCAGGAGGTCGACTAGAATGTTTGTCCTCCCCAAACCCACTCACAGTAAATACAACTGTAGCACCCCTATCCGCATCCTCCCACGGAGGGGGAATTTACCTGAAAGATCTTCATTAAAGTCTATTTTCTTGTTGAACACAAGGTTGTTGAGCATTCTGTAGGGCCGAGCGGGCACGTGTACCTTCTCGATGTGAGCTTTCCCTATTATTATGGTACAAGGAGAGTTGGCATGGCCTGTGCTGAATTGGCTGTGAATATCGCTAACAGGCTTCTGGAAAGAAAGATAACAAGATGAGCAAAATGTCAAAGCGTCAACGCGCACACCTCGGAACCGTACCGAAGAGCGTGAGGGGAAAGGGCACCCCCTACCTTTGGAGTGGTCGTTCTCTTGTGCCTTTTGCTGGGCTGCCTCTGGGGGCCATGTTTAACCACTTTAGCTTGTGTTTGTTTGGCTCCGAGTTTTACGACGTCTGCCCACGATTTTGCCACTGTCCGAGGGAGAAAGTGTTGAAACATTTCCAAACTCGTATTCCTGAGGAAACGACCCTGAGGACCTTCTCTGCCAACCCAGCACTCACCGATTAAATTGGCTTCAGAAGCGCCGCTCCTTCTTCTGGAATAGATCCTCTGCAAGATCTCGTGTTGGCTCCGGTCGATGGAAGCTCTCTTCGAAGGCAAGGTGCCACTCTTCCTGCCTCCCCTCTTGGGAGCGTCTGTGGGATGAGGAGATGCGCTGCCCCTGGAGACCGAGGGCACCTTCCTCGACCTACGGCGGGCCTCATTTGCCACTGGAGAAGTTCTCGTCAGATTCTGAGCTGCAGATCCCTTACGCTGGTCTTGTGCACAAACTTCCAAACGGATTTCTGAAGAATCTTCTTTTCTTGATGGTTGAGGGTATTCCTGACGAGATTTAAATGTTCATAAGAAACCTTACCACAGATAGAACATCTCTGTAGGGAACGTGAGAACCCTATTCAAATAAGAATTTCAGTTGTTTAAATCTTGAGGCACCAAAGCATTTCATCCACTGTCTGTCAGGGGCCTGGTAGAAATGGGAGTCTGTCCCCCTCATTTTAGAAAAAATAAAAAGGGAATAAAACAACAGATAAGTCTTAGTTGGGGTGTTATGGGTAGAAAGGCGAAAGGAACCGCCCGGGGAGTGAAAAGTGAGCGTGCTCTGATCTGAACTGGAGAAAAGCACCATCCGTAGGTGTCTAATCCCCTTCGGTCTACACGGAAGGAGGGCTGCTCATTTCTGGGAGCCAGTATTAAATGGAAAAGGAGCCAGGCATACCTTACCCTCCTTTTGGTATGAAAGAAATTAAAGACAGCCCAGGCCCTCTGACAGGGATGAGCCGTGGGGCCCTACAGGCCTAAAATCAGGAGGACAACACAGCCTAGGGTAGCTGACTTAAAGTTCTACACAGCTGATGGTCAAAATCATAGGTGGTTGACCTCTGAGATTTCCCTTTCCACCTCATAATTGTAAAAGAAAAGCAAAAATGCCTTATGGTTATGTGTCATGAGGTCTCCAGATTCTTTGTAATTGCTAGTGGGTTTTGTTTTTTTTGTTTTTTTTTTTTAAGATATTATTTATTTATTTTGAGAGAGAGAGAGAGAGTCGGAGGGGAAGGACAGAGGGAGAGACAGAATCTTCAGCAGACCCCCCAGCTGAGCGTGGAGCTGGACGCGGGGCTCGATCTCACAACCTTGAGCTCATGGCCTGAGTCGAAGGCAGACATTTAACCCATGGAGCCACCGGGGTGACCCTGTAATTGCTAGTTTTCCTGAACCCCCCACGTGATACCCTGTAAGCCTGGCTGGCAGGATGGCCCAGCAGAAGGCAACCCCCAGGACTCGCCCCTGTTCAACCTCCTTAGAGTCGTACGTCGAAGCCCCGGGAAGGAGCTCAACTTTTGATTTTTTTATTTTCACTTTTTGATTAGAATAAAAAAGGTCTTCATAGTAACTGTATTGGCGGTGGGGAGTTTGGAAAGGATGTGTCACGGGCATGAGTGAGAAGACTGTCTGCCCAACATACCTTGATGATTTTCTTCAAGACAGCTGAAGTGTGGCTGACGAGAGACCTTCTCGGGGTCTCTCCTCTCTTAAGAGGTGTATTAGGAGGTAAGTTCTCATCAAATAACTCCGGCTTCAGACGACCACCGAAGGAGACCCGCCTTCTTTTCAGGGACGTTCCCTCATTATCTAAAGAAGGAAACATGAATGTGGACAGGAATCAAAGATGCACACTTACGTCGACTCGCTTCAGGCTCCTGTTAAAGACAAGCCTCTGGTGAAGTTCACTGACACCCAACACCCCCTCATGCCGTCCCCTTGTCACGCTGAGGGCCTGGAGTGCCTCAAGAGCTCAGGAAAGATCCAGGGACAAACCAACAAGATGTCAAGTCCCAACTGGACAGGACAAAGACTTTCTACAAAAGGGTAAGAAATCCTGTATATTGATAAAGGGATCCGGACCGGTGGCGTCCACGCTGGAACTGGGCAATGACAGAGATGGATATTTCTACAGTGACCTGAGGTTTTTTCGAAACCACGTATGGACTCAGGGCTCATCCAGACCAACCTAGTAAGAAGTTATGAACTTGACTTCTCCAGGTGATTCAAAATGGCAAATCATGAGTCCCAACCCCACTGCACATCCTGGTGAACCAGCACGTGACAGAAATCCCTTGTCTGGGTGATGCTCTTCGGAGACCCCTAGGGACGTCGTGACGGATGCGTACGGGTCTCATTTCTGAGAGCCGTGCACCTCGCCCAAGGGACCCTCTGCAGACGGAGCCCGACAGTAATCTCGCTACTTCAGGACACGCTCAGAGCCCCGGGAAGTGTGGGAGGGTGCCCAGGGGACGTGCCAAGCCTCCTCCAGAGGTCACAGCTCTGCCACTCGCTGTGTGACATGAGGCTATCAGTGTCCCTATTTGCAAGAAGGAAATCACAGGAACGCCAGTCCCAGGGGCACTCCTGCGGCCTGCTCAAAGGAGTAACAGGGTGAACGTGGGAAAAACACCTACAACAGCGCCTGACGCATACGCCCATGGGCAACGTCCCCCGTTGCATAAAAAACAAAACACAAAACACAAAACAGAAAAACTGCTCGAAAGAGACCCTGAGAAGAGTATGATTACTGGAGAGACGCCCCATATTTAAACGTTTACGAAGGACTGAGTTCCCTGGACTTCACTTACAGAAGCAAACTCATAGGATACAACAGCTTACGGTTCAGAATTACAACTTCTGTGAAAAGCCATTACGCTTGGGCGCCTGCGTGGCTCCGTGGGTTAAACCTCTGCCTTCGGCTCAGGTCATGATCCCAGAGTCCCGGGATCGAGTCCCGCATAGGGCTCCCTGCTCAGTAGGGAGCCTGCTTCTCCCTCTGACCTCTCTCTTCCCATGCTCTCTCTCTCTCAAATAAATAAAATAAAATAAACCTTAAAAAAAAAAAAGCAAGCCATTACGCTTACTGGGTTTATCTTCCTATTTTCTCATAGGTGCACCAGGAGACTCCCAACATGGTGTTGGCCCCCCTGAAGGCCCCCGGCGGTGTTCCTCCCTGACAACCTGCACTCCGGCCAGAGTCCCTGGTGACGACACTCCAGGACGTGAGGACGCGTCTGTCAGGGGGGACGGTGCATATGGCTGTCGCATGAGTAGACCGCCACGCCTCCAGGACCCTCCCCCTACAGCAGAGCCATTGCTACCGAGGGAAGGAAAGTCTCGTGACTTCCTATCTAGATACAAAGAAGGTGTGAGCCTGTGGGGGAAAATGAACGCACAGGTAAGTAAACTTACTAATGGAGTCACCAGAGCTGCTGCTATCAACTGAACTACGGCCCGGGAACCCAGAGCTCGAAGGCCCGGCGGTGGCGCCCACTCTCTCAGGCTGGTGCACGGAAATGCTCTGGATCTTCCTTTCAACCTGAACGGGCAGTGGAGCTAAAACAGCGTGAGTCTGAGTTTCTGGTTCTGTGGCAAGAACGTCCACACTGGAGGGAACACTCGCCCTCTTCTTGGAGGAGAGTTTTTCTGGTGTTGCTCCAAAATTAACAGCGTTTTCAACTTTAGTGGGTGTTGGATTTCTGGCTAAGAACTTCCGAGGAGTGAATGTCTTGTTATCGGTCCCGAAGCTTTCCCTTTGAGCCAGATTCACGGGTTCACTTCCGCTGGGAACACGCAGGTCTTCACTCCGACGTTTTCGTGAGGAATTGTGAGGAGAATGATGGACCAGGGTCTTGGCTCTTGTCATCTCCTTAGGAGGGATGCTGGGACCCGTGGTCTCCTTGGGAGTCTGAAGGGCCTCCTCATCCTTTCTCCTGTCCTCTGTCTGGCTAATTCCTTGTTCTCCCAAAGCAGGGTCTGCCTTCACTGGGGTGAATCGACCCGACCTGGGTCTGGATTTAAGTGAGACCAGGACTTGTGTCCCGTCTTGTAGCTCACCGGAACATTCATTCTCTGATGCACGATGACTCCGCGACCCCGACTTTTTCCCACTCTGTGGAACATTCCCTTTTCCTGATTTCATGTCAAACTCTTCCTTCATTGACTCGTAAAGCTCCCTAAATGGAGACTCCTGGTTTTCACTATTCTCAGGACACCACGTAGAGGGGAAAGTCTTCAGTTCTCCATGACAGCTCACTAAGACAACGCTGGAATCTTCCTTAAAATCCCCGGCTGTAGGATCCATTGCATTTCTGAAGTTCTCTCCAGGAAGTTCTGAGGAATGGACAGCATTAAGGGATTTTCTAGCAGCGTGATCTTTGGGACCATCTGAGGAGGCTGCTTTGCCATTCTTCACGTGTACCAGCGGACTTCCGGAAACATTTTCTTCACAGAGTTTTGAATGGGCATTGGAATCTTGAACTTTCCCATCTTGGCAATGAGTTATGAAATAAGAAACAGAAAGTTCAAGATTTTCTCAGTGATTAACACTGTGCAGTATTCAAATTTTACAACCTTTTCAAACGGGCTTGCAATCTAGTTTTTCACTTAGCTCACAAACTACTTACTGCCAAAATGCATCATAGAAGTATTCTGATCCTCGAATTACGATGCAAACAAATAAATCACATCAGCCTTCTGTAAACAGTACGAGGGGTCAATATGAGGGGTCACCGGCTATTATCTACTCGATGAAACTGACACCCGTGTTCAGTTTACACGTGGACACTCTAATAAGTATTGTGCCCCGTGCATCTCTGGGAGGAAAAATTAACTCAGGTGCCTGCCTGTTGTGTTACATAACACAACCTCCTAACTTGTGTGAACCTAGATGTAGAACGCTGGTGTTCTCATTACCTCTTCCTTGCCCTAACCCTGCACAGAGAGCTGATCGTGCAGGATCCCAGAATAAAATCAAAAACTACTAACCGGGGTCAGAAGAGAAGCTAGACCTTGAGACCTGATGCAGAGAATCCTGTGAATTGGAAAAATAGAAACAGTGAGTTAGGTGCTTGTTCAAATACCCACAGTCATGTTTATGAAAATGTTCTGGCTCTGGATGCTCTTTCTTACCAAACTCTTCTTGTAGGAATTTTAGAGACTTTGAGAAAGGAGCCAAAGACACTTAGGGGTGAGTGCTCATAATACACGTATTTCTTAGCTGGTTGTAAAAAAAATATAATGATAGAACAAGAAACAAACTTGAAGCTCAAAACTGTTCCAATGGAACTTCAGCTGAGTTTTGCTAACTTCCTCAAACTTCTTTCTCATCACCCTATGAAAGAACTGAGGCTAAAATTAAACATCACCTATGCTCAGCGTCTGTGAACCTGCCAAGGGCACAGAATTACCGACTTAATACTTAGGTTTGTCAGAAAGAAGCTGCAGGACCTGCGGTGAGCTGGGGCCCCGCTCAGCCTGGGGACTCGGGTCGGCAGGTGCACCCGGGCCCGGATGTTTAGGAGAAAGTGAAACCGGCACATCACAGGCATCGTGCTCTCTGAGCCCAGCAATCACATCCAATACTCCTACCTGGCCCCCACGGCTGCCTTCACAATCTGTCAGAAGATTTTTAGGGGGCGAGGAACAACCACAGAATAACAAGGACGTAAGGTACAAAAGTTCAGTGTTGCTTCAGAGGAGGAAAGTATCTCATCTGAATTACGATGGGGAAAAAAGTCACAAAGTATATCCAAAGGCAAATAATTTAACTTCTCCCTAATCAATTTCAGATTTCTTGGTGTCTGAAACATTGCTTCTCTAACTTGCCAAGTGGGGGATCGGTTTCTTATTTCCAACTTGAAGTTGGCCACGGGTCTTAGGACCAAACAATAAAAATGAATTAAAATTAAAATATATGTACAAAATATAAGCATATAAGCCCATTTTTGTACCATTATAGTCCAGACATAAAAGTCACCGTCAAACGGCGATAACACATTCTCAGTATTCAGTTTCAACACTGACTTTATCACCGGCCAGACAACAAGCAGTTGGTAGGCCTTCGAGACCACTTCTAACTCAAAGACCAGCTTTTTGCTTGGTTCCCTAACACCTACCAACAAAGTGGTTAGAGAACCTCGAAAGCGAGCTTTCCCCCAAAGCCAATGAGGGGCAAGATCACTACGAGGGTCCTTTCTCTAGGAAGGAAGCAGCATGTAGCCAGGGCAGAGATCCCCGGTTGAAGGCTTCCTGTTAATTTCAGGCATAGTATCTGATAGGATTTTTTAAGCCAGTGAATTACAACCTGGTCACAGAAGACCAGCGTGGCCAGCTTCAGCAAGCTTCCTAAATCTCAGCGGATGGGCCCAGGACTGCATCCTGACAGAGCCACACTGTTTGGATGGACACAGGTGATAAGATTCTCTGGCACTGATGCAGCGCAGTGACGCTCTCGGGCGGCAGGGTTGTCTCTCCATCGAAGTCAGGAAGCATCTCTGGGACTCACAGCTCTGATGTGATCATTTCAGATGCAGAAGGATGGAAGAACACAGTAACCGGGAGACAACACGAGCCACTGATCTAGGTCCGAGATTTTAACTCTATGTGATGGGCTGTTCTAGCCAAAGGTTTGCAAGATCATACCGTGAGATAGTCCAGGAGCCTTCAGGCCGAAGTGTAGGACTGACTCAGTCCTCTCATTGTGAAGGAAAAAAAAAAAAAATCATAGTTGTACGTCTTTTCAGTGTGTTTAAGATCTCAGGTGTCTGTCCCTCTCTTAACTGGCGAGTCACCTTCCCTTGTGAGATGTCACTCATCTGCATGCATATAAATGATTTCACAGCACCGTGCAGAAGAACCAGAGCCCACAATTGGATCATCTCTGCACGCCCCCATCACCTGTTTGCGTGTTTGTCCCGGGCATTCCGTTGGCTGGCTTCCATTCTGCTGACTTTCGTTTTCATACCTGAAATGCACAGAAGGACAGACACACATTCAGACTCCAGCTCTGTGACTGATGGAAAACCTCCTCGTCTCATTCGCGTCCAAGCAGCGAGGAACAAACTTGAGGTTTTAGTCAAGGGATTCACTGTATTCATGGAAATAGAGGTGGAGTTAGAAAAGATTTTATACTAAAGACTTGGACAGGCCACCTCAAATCTCTTTTGGAACAGTGTGGTCAGAGGTGGGGACCCAGATTAACTTCTCAACGCAGACAAGCTGTGTGACTTCAGCAATATTGGAGCACCTCCTCTGTGAAAACCTGCACAGGAGAGCCGATTGGATTCCCACGGGTTTATATCCACAGTCATCTGAGGGCTGGGAAGGTCACCAGGGAAGCCGAGGCCTGAGGCACTTGGTGATGTCACCCTTACTGCAAGGTCACCACAGAGCCACCCTGTATAGGAACGCTGGGACCTCCTGTTTCCTGACTACCGCGTCTGCATCTGAACAAAGACTGGCACATTTTTGAAGATGGAATCAGATTTAACAGCATACACTGTCCTTCGACCAGACCCCAGACATAATTCACAGAACTGTGGGCGTCCTGAACTTGGCCTCTGTAAGGTGGCCTGATCCGAAACAGGCGGGTGTCTAGACTTACTTCTCATGGCCTCAGAGTTCATGGTCACATCCCTCTTCCCAAGGCTCCTTCCCCATTCTTGTATTGGAGGTATTTAATTATCTCAATTAACCTCAAATCTGAACGGCATCTCATTTGGGGGAAGAAGTCCTGGTTTCCATTCCACATCAAATGCTTCCTACCTAGAAGTCTGTTTCCTGGAAGGCAAGTTCACAAGAAGCCCTGGGAAGAAGATCACCAACAGAACACATAGGAAATATCTGCTCAAGACGAGTGGAGGCAGTAAGGAGGTCAGTGTGCCATCTGGCGGCATGATGGCCAATGTGACCCAGAGTGCGCTGCCTCCCAGGGACCTGAGGCACAATCAAAGGCACCTGCAGGATGAGTGTGGAGGGTGGGAGGGGACACGTGGAGCCATCAGCAACCCTGAGCGAGCTGGAGGGGGCATTGGCCAACGTCAACAAAAGAGACTTCAAGATAAAAATTGCTCCTAGGGATGAAGGACACTTTATAATGATGAAAGGATCCATCTACCCAGAAGATAAACCAATTGTAAAGAAAAGCGCACCTAAGAGCTGGTTGTAAGAGACAAGCTGAGCCTTAGGGATTATGACAAGTTGAAAGCCAAGTGCCAGAAACTAGGATAGTAGGCGATTACTGATAAAAAAGCGGGAGGGAAGGTACAGAGTATCTCAGAAAGATAAGCCGCAGAGCTTCACCCACTAGGACAGGATTCTAAGTTTCAACACTCAACGGAGAGACGCAGAAACAGAAGAACTAAAAAAACAGAAAGGAAGAAAAATCCTCAACGTGTGATTTCAGCCTATGGGAGCCACAGGACACATATTCTTTTCAAACATGCAGGAGAGATTAGTAAAAAATTAACCACATCTGGTCATAAAGCAAGCCCTTGACTCACTTCAAAACCTGGAAATTTCCCAAACTTCTGTCCAGAATGAACGAATTATGTATATACCCGGGATTTATTTTGGTGAAATCGTCTGACAGCAAGAAAGAACAAACAGGACATCTATGCTTGGCTCTCCCAAGCATGGAGCAGAAGTCAGCTGCAAGAACATACGTCATTATTTCAAATTTAGAGTTTAATAAAGACAGACGAAACCAGACGGTTAGAGACACATGCTTCCGTAGCACAACTCCAAAGATTTTGTTATCAGAAAAGCCCACTAGGGTGGTGGTTTCTTGGTGAGGGAAAGGAGCAGTGATTAGAAGACCTTTCCAGAAGAAGGTTCTGGAAATATTCTGTCTACAGCTTGAGTGGTGTGTTAGTTTGCTAGGACTGCCATCCAAAATGCCACACGCAGGTGGCCTCAACACAGAAACATATTCTCTCACAGTTCTGGAGGCTGGAAGTCCGAGATCAAGGTGTCGGCGGGACTGTTCTCTCCCTGAGGCCTCTGTCCTGGGCTGGCCAGGGCCGTCCCTGCGGCCTTCACGCTGCCGTCCCTCTGAGCACCTGCTGCCCTTCTTCTGTGTCCTCAGCTCGTCTTCTTACAAGGACACCAGTCAAATTGATTAGGACCCACGCTAATGGCCTCTTTTTAAGTCAACCACCTCTTTCAAGACCCTGTCTTCAATACAGTAATATTCTGGCTGGCCGGGGGTGAACACCTCAACATAAGGATACTGATGGGGCACAGTTCAGCCCCTAATAGGTGACAGTCACCCAGGGTCTCATGTCATGATAAGCTGAGCTGGACAGCTTGTCTTGTGTCTTTTCTCCAGGACCGTTTTTTAACTTGAAAATGAAGCAGAAACTGAAAAATGCATGTGGCTTCACCCCGCCTGCACCAAAAATAAAACCCCGGGAGGCCCTGGTCACCCGTCGTTGGCCCAGCTGCGCGCGCTCGGATCCTCAAAGGGGGGTCACAGGAGCCCCACGTGTCATCCCCGCTATGCCCACGTGACTGCAGACTGAGAACCAGTGGGGAGAGCGGCCGCTCCAAACGCTCTGACGTTTCCGCGGCCCAGAAAAGTCACAGACGTCTGCCGAGCGGCAGCGCCGAGCGCGACCAGATTCACCTTCACCCACCTGAAAGATCGATCGACAATGGTGATCACATCGCCGTGCTTAAGGTGTACGGGCTCCGCAAGGACGGACCCGTTCACTTGGGTCGGATTGGTGGAACTGAAATTAAACAGTATCGCCTACAGAGTAGAAGAAAGGGGAAACGAAGTAATTGATGACTAGGTAAAAAGTGCAATGAAAAGGGAAAAAACAAAGCAAAACAACAAAACAGACTTCAAACACCCACTTACCTCCTGCCCACTGACTTCAATTTTGCAATGCTGCTTTGACACCACAGGGAGCTGGATTCGAATGTCACATTCAATACCCCTTTGAGGGAAGAAATTGAGAGTTTGAGGCTGCTGCAACCTTTTTTTTTTTTTTTTACACAAATCCCATGAATGCTTCAAAATATAACAGCATTTGACCATATGTTTGATCCAAAAATGAAACGGCAGAAAGGGGTAATCAGTCAGGCGATGTGATGACCTATGCATTTGGCAAATAATTTTGACAAATATTGTGTAAGCGACTATTTTAAATCTTTAAGACTTTGGGCACTTGAAAACAATTATAATGGAAAATATTAGAATAAAAAACTGGATTGCTTTGACTGAAATGGCTGTGTTTATAATACCCAAATAAGGGAGGACTTTCCATCAGTTTGGAGAACTGTAACGATTTCTGATACTCTGTGCTTTTTTTCCATAAAGAAAGGTTTCTGTGTGTTCCTTTGTAACGTTATGTATGTTCAAAGTTTTCATCATCGCTACAGGTGCTGTATTTTATGCTAAAACCTGTCTCTTCACATACAAACAGACAATCACATCAGCACCTACATCACGGGGGTGTTCAAACGATGAATGAATTATACATTTCTGCCCTTTGCCCGGCAAACTGTCAATACCATTGACTCATGAACTTTTCATTGCTTTAGAACAACGCTGTATTAACGGGCAGATTCACAAGACTATTATTAAAAATATGAATGCAATCAACAAGTACACATTATTAGATTCAACTTCACTTTTCACGCAAAGAACATCAGCAGGAAGCACTGGAGGGGGAGTTTCCAAACCAACATGCAAACTAATCCAAATGGTCCTTAGTGAAGTCTCCTTGGGTCTCCGGGGTTCCCTTTATTGTAAGTCTGAACAGTTATACACTCTCCTCTCTGTTCTCGATACACTGCTCTGCAGCTGGGACTCTCTCTTTCTAGAATGTGTATAAAAGTTACAGGGGTATAAAATAATCGCAGAGCTGGACGTCGACTCCTGAGGGCTGACAGACTCGGTTTGTGTGAGTGTGAGTGTGTGAGTGTGAGTGTGTGCTGAGTTTCTTGTCCCTGCCTAGCTGCACGGTGTTCTTAGCCTTCGTGGGAAAACGTGGTTTAGTGGTTTCAGTCGTGTGGCAAATAAGTTGTAAAGGACAGAGCAGTTTGTCAGTAGCCGAGGAGAGAGTAGTGTTAGCTCTGTCTGTCCCTACAGAGAAATGTGTCAGCCACAGAGGTCTGTCTAAACTGTCTGGTTGTCCCACAGAGTAACACTAACAGGGGCTCGGATACACAGTTGTTTTATGTCTCATGGTCTCCTAACCTTGCCAGCCCGGGCACTTTTGGACAAAACTTTGTTCTTGTTTGAGGTTTTGCTCTCGGGTTTCTGTGTTTGTTTTTGTGGGTATTTGCCTCATTCCATCCGTGAGCTTTGCAGGCAGACAGATGTGACGCAGGACTTAAGTTCTAAGGTGTTTCTGGTAGTGGGGACATTGGTTGGCAGGAATAAGTCATGCTTTTTCTCTAAAGGGGGACGGGGGTGGGAATCCACGAGACAAGCTAAAGTTAAGTTGTTGGAAGAATTTCTTGATTGGAAATTTAGGCTTTGGGTTTTGTTGCTCTAGTTCCTAGAATAACTTAGAGATGCTGCTCCTTTGTCCAGGGACCACTCTAACTCCTGGGATCCCACACGTTCTTTCACTATAAGAAAAAACAAGTAATTGGTGCAGAGGTCTCTGTATTCTGACGCCGTCCTTTTTTAAGAAGTACTTTTCTCAAACAAAGCAATAAAAAAAAAAAAGAATATATCTTTCTACCTATGTCATATGACACTTTTAACGGGTTTTAAATGATAATATCCCACATAAAAATATATTTAATTACTACTGTAGAATCACCAGAATTACTGACATTTGACACCAAAATGTTTATTCTTTTTCCTTTGAAGAGAAAAGAAGCTATGGAAAGTGAACAGCTACTTTCAACTAAAGAGAATTTGATTTTTAGATAACAGAATACTGCAGCAAGAGAGAGAAAGAGAGACTATGTCATTAGAACTGAGAATTTGGGTGGCTGCAAACGGCCAACTAGAATCCCTATGGGTCAGTGGCTGTTAACCTGAGCACCGTTGACATTCTTTCCAGTGTGGGCTGTTCTTTCCATTGTAGGGTCCTTAGCAGCACCCCTGACCTGTTCACTAATGCTGCTGGCTTCAACCTGCCACACCGTGACATAGAAAATTGTCTCCAGACCTTGCCAGATGTCTCCTTGCAGGGCAAGTGAACCCTGGGCTGAGAACCACAGGCCACTCATGTTTCCACATTGAGCCCACGCGTCTGTTAGACAGAGAGTGCCACTGATCACCTCTGTCTCGCCAGACCCCCACCAGGCACTGCGTGCATAATTATGAACGACACAGTCCCTGTGCTTGCCCAGCTCAGTAGTGGGAGTCACAGCCAAAGACTGATCACGCTGCGTGGTGTTAGGAAAGACCAGAGCTGTGTTCAGTGAAGGGTTCTCTTTGGGGAACAGTTAAACGGATATCTGAAAGCTGGAAAGGAGTCACTCACGTAGGGAGACAGAGAGAACATTTCAGTCATAAGAGTTTAAAGCGGCCCAAAGCAACTCGATGAGCATGAGCTTGGAAGGTCTGAGGTGAGGAAGAACACAGTGGGGGCGGGACGGGGTGTGGGTAGAAGATGGTCGGGGCCACACCTCACAGGGCTCCACAGAGAGGGTGACTTATCATTTTATAAGAAATCGCTTGTCACAAACCCAGAGGAGTGTGCCTGTCATACAGGGACCGTATTATTTACCACCAACACAGGCCAGCAAGAAGAGAGTTCTTAAAACACTAACAGGACTTGTTTTCATTTTTCCAAAAAGCCAACAAGTCAAATACAGAGCCTCCTTCCCTCCTTTGCTCAGTAGTGTCCCCCCCAGCTAAGGCATACCAGGTTTGGGGGGGTTTCAGCTGAACATACTGGTCATCTAAAGAAGGCCTACAGGGAATCAGGATCTGAGAATAATCTACATTTTCCTCCATTTAAGGATTTTATCAACTCAATTTTAAAACATGTTTGATTAAAAACAATACTTAACTATATAAACATTGTTTCCAAAATTCTATTTCCTAATAAACAGCCATGTTACATTGACAATAAGTAGGAAAGTCCCAGCAAATTCAGGGGGGAACCAGTCCTAGGGCGTTTCTGGTGTGTTACTCTATGATTAGGATGTTAATGTCTCTGAAACTAAATTGCCCACCCCTGCGCAGGGCTCACCTTCCAAACAAGCAGGTGCTGAGGCTCAGTGGGAAGTGGGGCCCGTCCACCCCACTCCTTTTGATGGTCACAAGGCGACCCGTGGGACCCATTTTCTAAACAAGACTTTGAGTATAATCCGGATAGGAAGGTCAGGCATCAAAAGGTTTGCTGAAGCAAACTCACTGCAGGAACATGCCCCTGAATAAAACAAAAACAAAACGCGGGGCAGGGGGTGGGGGGGTTTGCTCTAAAAACAAAGAGCTACTCACTTGTAGGTGACCAAATGGGCCAGCCTGTACAATTCGCCATGCTCCTGCCACCCCGACGGACACGCTACTTGGCCTCCTGGGGGAGCCCCAGCCAGGCCCCGCGTTGCACCCCAGGGCGCCCCCAACACCCAGTAGCCCCCAAAGACCCGCGGCCAGGACGCCGTCCATCAAGGTCGAGGCTCCCGAGACCTCGTTAGAGCCCCGGCCGCGATGCAGGCGCGGTTCCCGCAGAGCCGGGGGTCCCCATGGCCCGGGCCCCCAGCACACCGCCCGCCCTCGCCCGCCCCCGCCCGCCGAGGCGCCCCGACGCCGGCTTACCCCGGACCCGTCGCCCGCACCGCCACCAGCCGGACCACAGCTCCGCCAGACGCAGCCCGAGTCCTCACCAGGAAAAGCCAGAGGTTAGCCCGCCGGCGTCCACCGCCCGCCCCTGGCTCCAAGGACGTGGACTGCCCGCGGCACCTCCGCCGCAGTCCTCACTGCCCCCCGCCGTCGCCTCGCCGGCGACCAGGTAGCCCAGCCCAGCCGCGTCCGGGAGGCGCCCGGCGTTAGCAGCTCCGCGCGTAAAGCCCCCGCCGCGCCCTCCCGATTCAAATGAAAACAACCATTCGAATTTGGCGCTAAGCGCTACGATTGGACGGGGCGGCGCGACAGTAGACCAATGGGCAGGCGCGAGGGCGGGGCGAGGGCGGGGCCAGAGGGGAGGGCGCGGGCCCCGCGGGGCAGGAGAGCGGCTGGCGGGCTCCTTGTGCACCTGCGGAAGACGCGGGGCTCCCACCAGGGACGGAGTGAAAAAGGCGGAAACGGAACATGGTCTTACTGCCGGGAAACCCTCTTGCATCCTTTTCTGTACGGACGAACACCGTTGTACACAGTGTGTTACTCACTGCTGGAAGGTTTAAAAACTATGAGAACTGGGGCGCCTGGGTGGCTCAGTGGGTTGAGCCTCTGCCTTCCGCTCAGGTCATGATCCCAGGCTCCTGGGATCCAGCCCCGCTGAGCAGGGAGCCTGCTTCCTCCTCTCTCTCTCTGCCTGCCTCTCTGCTTACTTGTGATCTCTGTCTGTCAAATAAATAAATAAAATCTTTTAAAAAATTATGAGAACTTCCCATATCTCCTCAAAGATAACCAATTATAAGCAATATCTAGTGTCTTTTCCCAGTTATACATGTTATCAGTCCCCTTCGAAAACACACTAAAAAGATCATAATATGCACATTGTTCTATACTTTGTGTTCTCTGCTTAAGTAATCCTGTGGATATTACCACTGGGGACATCTCCCCCCTTTACTTTCTTTTGGATGGCTGCAGAGCACTGGGCTCCAGAAGCCATGATTTCCGTAATCACTACTGTTACTGTGCATTTAGCTTTACGGTAATTTCCTATTAGAAAAAAAAAAAATCTCCAACTAAAAGAACCTGTGTGATACAGAACGGATGGCTTCTAAAATAACCGCAGGATTCCTTTCTAGAGCCAATTGCCTGGTTGGGGGGGAAGGGGAGGCTCCTGTGGAAAAAGGTGGTGTGAACTGAATGGAGCCAGAACATGCTTCGCTGATGCCTATCCTCCTTGTCACCCCACCACCACCACCACCAGCTCATCCTACAACCCACAGAGCTTGGCTTTTCCTTGGTCAGCAGCTGCCTTTCTCGTAGCGTGGACTGGGGACCCCTGAGGAAGTCTGAGATCCTGGCGGGGGTGGGGGGGGGTCCTTGGGATCAAAACCATGTTCATAAGAACACCAGACCTTTGTCCTTTGTAGGCTCCTTTTTTCAGTAGGGTGGAGTTTCCTGAACGCAGAAGCCGATGTAAAAAACCAGCTGTCTTACTCTATGAGCTATTACAGATTTTTGCAAAAACAGAAAATATTCCTGTTCATCTCAGTATCTTAAGAAAAGTAGATGTGGGGCACCTGGGTGGCTCAGTGGTTAAGCCTCTGCCTTCAGTTCAGGTCATGATCTCAGGGTCCTCGATCTGCTCTGCAGGGAGCCTGCTTCCTCCTCTCTCTCTCTCTGCTTGCCTCTCTGCCCACTTGTGATCTCTCTCTGTCAAATAAATAAAATCTTAAAAAAAAAAAAAGAAAAGTAGATGTATCTCATAAAAAATATGATTTTATGTTCATACGAGACATTTCATTGTTGCTTTGAAATGAATGGACGAATGACGTTTGAACCTTTCTGCTCCTGAGTGAAAACTCAGAGACAGAGCGCCTTCAGGAATATGGAAAAGCTCCTCGTAGTGAAGTGTGCACGCATAGGACCTCCAACTCCTAATTGTCTGTGACAAGGCTGATGTAGGTAATTTAAATGCGTGGATGCTATTAACCTTCTTCAGAGGATTAATTTCCATCCCCCGCCTTTCCACCACTGCAGAAAGCTCATCTCTGAACAACCCCATAAAATGCTACTTTTGTCACTCTAATTACTGCTTGTTATCAGGGAGGGCTCTGTGACCTTCCTGGGGCAGCCTAATTAGAACTGGGAGGTGCTAGACTTCCTGTCAAATAATCTTACAAACACGCCCCAGTACATGGAGCTGGTTCTCTAGACAGAGCAGGAGTTGCGGGAAGACTCACGGGGTTGTTGGCAAAGTGGTGGGTCTTGGTGGGCCGCACTGCCCTCTTTAGACTGTTGGCAAACATTAGCAAACATTAGCGGGGGAGCTTTCTGCTGGCTTTGAAGCTTGGCCCACCACCTAAGACTTCATTGAAAACACAGATTTCGGTCCTGCGAGAAGAATCCCATGCCCCACTGGCAGGGTTGGCACCTCCACCCCAAGCTTCACTCCAACACCATCGGAGTCTCGAATAGCATGTAGAATGGGGACCCTGTTAGAGCAACAGTCACCAAGATGGGCGGGAAAGGGCTTTGGCCTGAAGAGTTTTCAGGGAATCAATTTCCAAGTCTTTAGAGCCCTCACACACTTCTGTCCAAATCATTCAGGCCAGGAAAGTGTCTCTAGGGGGGTCCCTGCCCCTGTGCCCCCTCTCCCTGGCCCTGCGCATCCCCCTTGTCACTTTCACTTGCCTGAAATTTACTTGGGTAATTGTCCCAGGCACCCAAGAAGGGACCATTCAAAAATCCCCTTCAACTCTGTGCCCATCCCCTGATCGAAGAGCGTATTTCCAATAAATGGAGCATATGTTTAAAAATATTTATCAACTTTGAAACATATACATTGTTTTGCTCATCTGTGTTCCAGTAAATACTATATTCTGTAATCCCTGACATGTTGTCCAATAGAGAAGGTAGAAGGAGGGAGGCGAGGGGCAGGGACATCCAGGCTCCCCTCCTGGGCAGGCTATGACCCCACAAGTATGGTCAGTCTGGGTTGAGTCCCACTCTGGCATTCTGGGAAACATCCTCGGTAGATGCTCCAAGCCCATGTGTGACCCCTAAGGCTGCAGGAAGGGGTCGTGGTGCCAGGCATCCCCGGAGCCCCTTGCTTCTCAACTTCTTTTCCACTCCAGATCTCTTATTCACCCCTCCTCAGGCCAGACTTCCAGTCTCCGGGGCAGAGAAGAGCTTCAAAGTGGGGGGTGTGGGACAGAGCAGGTGGCCAGCCCTAAGTCAGCACTCTTTTCCCTGGGGCCCCAAATTAGGGGGACCCTCTTCCTTGAGCAAGATCCCAATTGCCTCTCACCCAGCCCTTTAGCCAGCATTCCGTGGCAGGGCAGCCCGGTGGTCTTGAGGTTGTGGGTCCCATGGGTTCCCAGCTGCTCCCCACACCGGGTGCCCTGGACCTTTCTTCCTGGCTTGTCTGGGAGGTCAGGTCCACCTATGTCCAAGCATGTATGGGACCACAGGTCTTCCCACCTTCAAATTCTGTCCGCATTTACCCATTCTCTACAAATCTGAAAGGGAGGTGCCAAAATTCTGCTGATCTCTGGGACCTCAGCTCTGGACCATCACCAGCTCTGGAGCCATCACCACGGACAGGGAGTGAGCAGCTGTGCACGTTACCCCCAGATCATATGACTTGCTGGCTAATGCCCTTCAGAGGTTGTTAACTGCTTTTGGGATAGACTCCAAACTCCTTCCAGGACCTAAGAGGTCATAAGAGACCTTGGACCTCCTGCCTCCTTGATCTCCTTGATCCCAATCCACTTCAGTGCCCTAACCACTGAGCTCTTCCTTCCTCAAAGACACTCAGCTCCCTTCAGCCTGAGGGCTGCTGATTCTTCTCCTCTCTCTCCTGGATGCTCATTGGGTCAGGAAGAGGAGGTGAGCTTTGCAGAGTGACCGAGCCCCTCCCAGAACAGGTAGTTGAAGACTATCTGGAGAGGAAGCATCCTGGTTGTGCCCAGACCCGTGAACAGCTGCTCCAGCCAAGGTGGGTTTCCACGTCAACCGTGTGTGTTCATCCTGGATTAACCTGGAGAAAAGGGGAATCAGAACCGTGATCTCTACTCTCTGAGTTAGGAAAAAAGAAAACAAAACAAAACTGGGACAGAACATGGCATCGAAAACCATGAAAGAAATTTTGAAAAACTTCTTTTCTTTTAATTTAAGAAGCTAATACTATATGCTGTCATTATAGAGTATTTGGAAAATATACAATTGTGGAAGGAAGAAAAATTTACCCCGAGATGAACAGAAGAAAATCATGTTTTTGTCTGTGTAATGTTTCTTTTGCTTAATAAACATATTTGTGTATACACATTCCATTTTATTTCTTATGCTTTCACTTATCATTAAACATTTTCTCTTTCATTCTTGGTGAATGTCAGTCACCTTAAGGACCCTATTTCAGCTCAACATTTAGGTTTTTTTCCTAACATTTGCTTATTACAAATCACGCTGTGATTGACATCAGAAACCTTGTTTTGATGTAACAGATTATGTTCTTAGTTTCTAGCTCCTGAAGCCTATTTGCCGGATCAAATGACATTTGCTTCATATTATCTAACTGTTTGCTTTTCAAAAAGGTTGTAACAATTTATCTGCCCAGATCAATGCTTGAGAATGCCTCTTACCATTGGCTCTTTGCATTTACATTTTCTGTTAATTTCTCTGCTAACGTGATAAGCTGAAGGCATTCAACTTGAATTTTAAAATTACTAGTTAGGTTGAACACTTTTCCTTACCTGTTTAAACTTTTCATCTTTTTGGCTTTGGGCCAAGAGTCTTTCTGTGTCCTTTGCCTAATTTTCCGGTCATGTTCTAAAGTTTTCCTTATTTATTTATTTCACAAATATATACATCCTTGCTCAGCCAAGTTAGTGAAATTTTTAGAGTCAGTCATTTAGCCAAAGAATATTTAAAGCCATGCATTGGATTCCTTAGATAAATGTGTGTGAAGAATAAAACTCTCCAGCTGTCTGAGAAAGTTCTGTGTGTGGCTGACACACATGGTGGGGCGCGGGG